TGGAAGTGAGAGGTCAAATTAAACTGAAATTTAGGGATGTTACTGGAAATCCTATGGTTGTAACTAGAACCCTGGTGTCCGAGCAGAAGGTAAAAAATTTTGAATTAATTTGTGTAATGCTAACTTAATCCTTCAAGCCCCAGTATCCACTTACAGATTTTCAATTTACTGATCTCCATGCATTTCTTAGAAGAATTAGTTGAGAGAAATTGATAAAAGATTAAAGCATATTTCCCTTCATTTTTCTGATCTTGTGTAATATTTGCACCCCTTGGTAGGCACTATTGGCCAATGTCGGTTGACTTGTCGGTAGAGTATCGGGCAACGCTCGATCACCATAGTGGTCGCGCCATATCAGTTTACATGTCAGCCAACTTGTGGCGATCTGTGTGTTGGTGTTTTGCCCAATATAGCACAGTCTGGGGGTTTGAAAATAGTTTCTGTTGTTGTGTCAACCCAGTTCAACCTGGCACCATCAACTTGTTGGATTTCTGCCGTGGTTCTATGCGTGTTATACCTTTACATTGTCCTGGAAAACCTCTTAACTAGGTGATGCCATAGTGGTCCCTATTTTTTCCAAAAAAATTGCACACACTTGAAATTATACTCTCACATTAGACTGGTAAAAGCCGCCAAAGCCCCATAAAAATTGCTGCATGGATAACATAACAACAAAAATTTGAGTAGACGAAAAATACACTGTTGACTTGTGAAGTATCAGTGGAATGTCAGTAGCCTATTGTTCGATATGTTGGCTCACTCTCAATCAACTTACAGACCAACACTATTGGCCAATCTGTCAGTCGACAAGTCGGCCAACTCTCGGTCAACTGTTGCTCAACATATTGGCCCACATGTTGTCCTACATTGTACAGTTGGCCAACCGATGTCAGCAGAGAGATAGACTGGGAGTTGGCCAATAATTATGTTGATTGATGTGGCGACCAAGAGTTGGCCGACATGTCGACTGATACTCGACCAAGGGGTGCCCGGACTGCCAAAATCACAATAAGTGAGTTACAGTTAGGTCAGACTCAACAGAAAAGTCGGCAAAGATCAAAAACTAGTTAGAAAGTGCAAGAATATGAAAAAAAAATTCATTTCGAAAAGAAATAAAAAATATATGCGTTATATATAGGTATATTAAATATACCTATATATAATGTATATATTTTTGATTGAATACATATAGATATACATTATACATACATATAAAAATATTATAGAATTGCTTTAGACAGGCCACATTTAAATGAAGGCAGTGTCTTTGCTTTCCTCAAGAAATTTAACTGCAGCATAAAGCAAATTATATTTATTTTAACAAAATAATATTGCTTTACAATGTGACAGGGAAAGAAGGTCGTCACAAAAACCTTGGAAAGTAGTGTTGTGCGTGAAGTTCATGGAGAGGTATGATTACAATTCTCATTGTTAACTTAGCATCAATACATGAGCACATGCGGTGCATGCCAATAAGGCTTGTGGACTGAACTGTATATGCTGAGCATCTAGTGAGAGTAATGTGCCTTGTGAGGCCTGAGCAACCACCTACTTGCACAGAGTGTTGGCTCATTCTCTTTAAAAATCTGGTGGAAGAAACAATACTTACATAATGTATCTCATACTTAGGGAGGGACGGGTAGCAAACACAAACTGTGAGGCAAAATGCTAACAAACTGTAGCAGTCAAGGAAAACTTTAATGACTGTGCATTGGCAGGAGAGCTGCAATTTACATGTCCCCCAACAAAACCACTCGACTACCCCACTTTGCAGAAATAACAGACCAGTAATATCTTGTGGTTGACCACACTTAAATTCAAATCATCCAGAAGTCTCCCTGTACTCAATTATTTAGGGAAGGGGAGAAATTTGTTGTGACGGTCAGGGAAAAGTCAGGGAAAAACAAATTTTTCAAGGTCAGGGAAAAGTCAGGGTAAATCTTTGATATCATCAAAGTCAATGAAAAGTGAGGGAATTCTGTTTTCTGGGTTATAGTTCATAAGTTTTCTTCAGGACTTTGAAATGCATTTTCTTTCGGAAAAAAAGAAAAGTATGCTGCAGAGCAAGCAAAGCAGTCAATTTGTCACTCTACAGCTGACCCATGTAGTAGTAGTTGTCAGTGGTTTTCGTTGTGAATGCTTTCTTTCCCTCTTTCTGCAAAATGAAGAAAGAGGCTGAAAATGAAGAGAAAAACATCGGTGGCCTGAAAAAAATGCTTAAGTGAATGTAAACATTGATTGTTTCTCATTAATAAAAGGTCAGTGAAAACTGTTTAAAGGTCAGTGAAAAGTCAGGGAAAAGTCAAGGAATTTTTAACTTTCTGATGAGTGACAACCCTGGACAGTATCGTGACTTGAAGTTAGTGGGTGCAGAAGGGGAGCCATAACCAGCGTCAAAGCTTAAATGTATAGGCTTCTTGCATTTCCTTTTATCTTTCATTAGCGACGAAGTTTAAGCTCAACATGTGCTGACATCAACAGGGAGGTAAGGATCGCCATGCATACAAAATGATGTTTACACCTACTAGCAACACAATAGACCTTTTTACCGATATGGTGGTGATATTGAATTAATTGGATTTAAGGAGTATTATGGGATGCCCAGGGGGCTGAAGCACGATCCGATATACTTGCATCAGTATTTATGTGTGCTTTGCGGGTCAATTTTTTTTTCAAGTTTTCCTGGAAAAAAATTGTTATGGTAAAAAAGAAAGATCATTGTTCCATGTTTGGATGCAATAATGATTGCCTTTTTCCCGAGAAATATACATTGAAGTTCCCTTTTTGTCCAAAAAGTGCTCGTAAATACTGGGTGAGTGCACCCTGGGCATCCCATAATACTCCTCAAATTTAATAAATTCAATATGGCCACCGTAACGGTAAAAAGGTCTACTGCTTACCAGCAAGTGGTGAAAATATGAAATTCTTTTTAAATCAATATCCTACTTGTATCCATTTCAGTGAACTGTTCAAGTGACAGTACCATGGTGACTTTTAAGTGAGGTAGTCAATAATGTTTTCAAGCATTTTGATCCTCCTGAGAAAATGACTAAAGCGAATCCTCATGCATTTTACTTTTACCCAATAGTGTAAAGTCTTAATGTACTGTAGCAGAATTTGAATTTTAATATCATAGATGTATATGGATACAAGATTAGAGAATTAAAATTGACATTACATTAGTTCCTATGAGCCCAGAGTCTATTGCATTAAAGTAAAGTACCAATGGACCATCACATTTTGTAAGTCCAGTGACTGTAAGTTTGTTCTTTTGTATAGATGATTTCATCTCTTGGAGTATCAAAAGCTGTGTTGGATAATGTGATTTTCTGCCATCAAGAAGAGTCTAACTGGTAAGTGTGCAACGGAGAAAAACCAAAAACACCCAGTGCATGTGTTACAGGTTAAAAAATTTTAACCTAAATTTGATTTTAACTTGTAATACATGCATGGACCCATGTGAAAGACATAATGAGAATAATGTTATTTGACTTCACCCACTTAGTGCCATGCAGGTGTTGTTGGATTATCAACTGATAATTGCATTGCCACTGGCATATATTATGGTAAAAAGATGTGTGTTTGTATGCATGGCCTACAAACTGGTTTTTGTGCATGGATCAACTGAATCAAGGCCATGATCAACTGAATTCAAATGCATTTGTTAGTTACAAATTATCATAAAATTGTGCCTGCAGTATTAGTTTTGCATGAAGAATAATTGGCTGTTTTTTATTGGTTATTTATTTAAGGCCACTTAGTGAGGGGAGAGTACTGAAACAAAAATTTGATGAAATATTTGCAGCCACAAGGTACAGTATATAATTTTTTCCTGTATGCATGGAAAATACTACCACTAAGTTACTAAGTTACATTACTAACTTTGTCTGCCTCAGAGACATGTGGTCAAGTTAACAGTGAAGCAGGAATTTTAAAAAAAACTTGAATTCCTGGTTGTCCTTTAACATTATTTTTGCTTGCCTGGGATACACTGTACATGCATGCTTGACACATTATGATTATGTTAGAAGTTACAAGGGTCTCTTTTTTGTCTCCATGAAGTACATAGCTTACAGTATAGGTTTTTTGTTTTAGTGGTAAATAACCTTTGTTATGGCATTGTGTAAATTTCATAGAAACACGTACATGTACACAACAGCCAAAGGTCTCATACATGGAAATGATTAGGAACAGAAAGTGCATGTAATGGCATGCTCTCTCCCTTTCCTTGACAGGTACATAAAGGCACTGGATGCCATTCGAAAGTTTAGAATGGAACAGGTTGGTCTTAATGTTCTGCAGCTGTACATTCACTAGTGTCACTGAATGGCTTATACAGGCAAGGGCACCCATTAAGTAGAAAAACAACTGATTCTTAGTCTCTGTTTTTTATCAATTTCATGTGTTGAGATTTTTAAGGTGAATGTGTGAATTAAAGATGGTTGAACACTGCTTGTGGTGTGTATCTGCCATTTCTATATTTCCCAAGACCTTTAGTGTTATGCTAGATTCTTCTGTATAGTAGGTATTTGAAGTGGGTAGGGATTAAAATGTAGGTACATCTGTAAGAACAAGTACATGTATACCATAACTTGCACTGCCTGATACTCTTTTTGAGCTTAACAGATTACCATTTGGACTTGAGTGTACACCGTCAACATTTCAGCAACTTGCCGGTTCTTCATATGCTGCTGACTTGCTGTATGTGCGGCATGATTACCATTACTGCCAGGGATATTGTTCCCATATGAGAACAAAAGGCACCAGCTACATTGGCTATCCCAGTCTTTACCGCTTGCATGCTTTTAAGGTTGACTGGAGCTTAACTTTTCAGGCATCTTGGGGCCAACAACAGCCATCTCTCATGGCTGTTGTTGGCAATGATGCCTGTTCTCCTATGTCTAAATAGTGTCCCAGGCAATATTGATAGCTATGTCACAGGTACATGTTGGCCAGCAGTGATTGAAAACTAGGCTTTTAGCTTTGACAATAGATAGAAGTTGAATAGTAACTTACATGTATTGAATGACATTAAATTTATTTTGCAGGTCCAGACTGTTAAGGAGTACTCTATTGAATTAAACCATCTGAGGGCAAACAAAGTGAAGGCAGAAGAAGTACAAATTCTTAATTTTGTCGTTATTCCTCTAAAAATTTTTTTTAGCATAAACCTGAGAATGTTGCATAACTTATGTACACATACATGTATGAAATAAATTTGATGAATAAATTAAGCCATCATTAATGCAGCTTACAGATGGGTAATGGTTGGCCTAAATAAATTTGTTTTAGTGCAGATTGAATGTACCTACAAAGCAGTGTAAAATTACTTCCATACTTTTTGCTAATAATGTGCAGTGAGCAGACATTGAGAAATTGAAATAAAACAGAGCTTCTCAAAGCTTGCCTTTTTTACTTTTGTAACCTCTCAGTGGATACTTTTCACCAGCATTTTGAGTCCTTGCAAATCGTGGAAAATTGCATCGTGGAAATAGTAACTTTTTTCTTTGTGGAATACTGTGCCTGCCAATCTCTTCGGGTTAGCATTAATGGAAATTTACCTAAGATGGACTAGAAATGCTTCCCTCATGGTTATTGTATGCCAAAATCCTTTCCAGTGTAATTTAGATCTTATGAATATACTTCTCATTTTTTGATCTTACATCATGTAGGTTCATTGCCTGTACCAGCATTTGTTGTATGATGTAAAGGGCATGGGTCTATAAAAAAATGGTTGCAGTTCAATAATAATTTATGATGCCTAATTTTACTGGAAATTTTTTTTGGAATTTTGTCAGATAGCAGATGAACTGACGCAAACCCAGGGAAAGGTTGAGGCGACAAAGGATACAGTAAGGGAACTGAATGAAAAACTTGAGCCAGTAGAGGTAGGGCTATCCTGGTGTTATTTAGTCTGTTGGGTGTTTATACTTCAAGAAACATTCTTTCTCTTTGTTGTATTCAGAACAAGATTCATGTAACATGTCAGCTGTGTCATGAGCAGGAGAACAAAGAAAGTAGTACAGGAAAGAACAAATTGGTCAAATTGGGAAATTAATTTTTGGACTGACTGGTCTGACCAGTTAAAGTCGACCACTCTAAAGGTTGTCCCAAATATTTGAGTCAGATGAAATCAAAATGGTCCTTTCCATATGACTTCCAACTAAAATTCCTGGAAATTGTGTTGCAATGGAAACTTCTCGCAGGGTTGTTGAAAGGTGGTTTTCCCGTTATAGGATATTCCTACAATGTACTTGCAGTGGGACCCAAAATTTGTTGAGTACATTTTGGATACAATACAGCAATAATAAATAGGAATTGTGACTCCTTACTAGGCTGTGTGCTGAGTTGCTGTTCGGTGCAAAATTGACTTACATGTACATGTATTGTATTCTGTCATTTTGTCTTTATACAGTTAAAGCTGGCTGAACTTGCCAGTATTGCAGATGATGTAATTAAACTCGAGAACAAAGTTGGTATGTGTCATAAAAAAATAGCCTTAGATCAGTGTGAATCTTTTTATGGCTTCTTATTTAGGTTATCAGATCCTTTGATAGAACCAAGGTACATGTATGCCAAACCTGGTTATTTTCGTTGGTTTCTTTTCCAGAATCTTTGTCAACAGAAAAAAGACAGCTCTTCAAAGTAGAGGCTGATCTCAGGGACAAGATCACCAATCTATTTAATGGTATTTACATTTTAATCTACCTTGCTTGTTTCAAATGGTTTGAGAAAACAGGATAATAAAATGGTGTTTCAGGACTCAAACACTATTTTACTGACACTTGTGGGTAATGGTTAATATTTTATTTGTAATAGTTAATGCTGCTGAATTATCATGGCAGCAGTGGAACTCTGTTCTTTTCTGTTTTGAATCTCTGTACTGTGTGATCTTTCTTTCAAACTTAATGACCGTGATCAAGGCAAAAAAGGTGGGGGAGGGTGGGGAAGGGGGGGGGGGGGGTAAGTAGTGATGATGAGTTTTACACAGATGCGAGTTGGGGGGGATGATGTAAATAGGGATATTGACATACGTAGGTCTCATATCATTTTTCTTGTCCAGGTTGTAAATCCAGGATAGTGGGTGGAAGTTCACAAGATTTTTTGAGATTTTAAAATGTAAAATAAGCTTTTTTTTGGAAAGGTAAAGGAAGAGTTAGCGGCAAAAAAGGAGGGGGGGGGTGGGGGGGGGGGGGGGGGGTAAGTAGTGATGATGAGTTTTACACAGATGCCAGATGGAGGTGATGATGTAAATAGGGATATTGACATACGTAGGTCTCATATCATTTTTCTTGTCCATGTTGTGAATCCAGGATCTGTGGATGAACTTCACAAGATTTTTTCAGATTTTCAAAGAAGAGTACAGGAAAAGGAAAACACTTTAAGAAATGTAAGCACTCTCTTTGACTTGTCCATACCACTGTTAGCTGCTGCACATCTTTTTCAAAGACTTTCAAATCCCAGATTTTTTGAGTTTTGTGGTTCTCAGGAAAGTTTTTGGCCTATCAGAACCCAAGGAACACTTTCATCAACACGAGTCTTCTCCCAGTCTTCTTCAAAACATTGTACAAGTAAACCCTGCTTGATTGCAACTTAAACATAGTTTCTGCGGTGCAATGCTTGTCAGTAATGTATTGCTTTTAGTTTCTCTCAGTGAGTTAAATTGTTGCTGTTTTGGGTTTGTCTTCAGTTCTATTTGAATTCACGAAAATTAATTTTGGATGAAGTGTAGGGGTTTTGCCTCTGATTTTTAATGGTTATGAAGGTAGAAACAAGCGCTTGTTGCGACCTCAGTGATACATAAACAATGTAATCTTCATTGCAGAATAAAGTAAACCTTCAGACATTAAACAAAGCCCAACAAAAGTTGACTGCTGACCAGAATCAGCTACTAATGGCAGGCGGAAAGCTTGAACAGCAGGCTCAGGTAAGAATATTAAGGTTGACTAAGACACGAAGCTTTCATTTGTTTAACATACACACAGGCTTTGAACAGTAGTTGCTAACATCCTGAAAAGTAATAACGAGAGAATGCTTTCAAATAGATGTTTTCAAGGCCTCCACTAGTCTTCTCTGGTGTAATACCTATGAACATTTTGTCCTCTTTATCCTGTTTACTTGTCTTGGTTTAATTTTCTTTTTACCATTATTTTGGTCACCTAGTGATGAAATAGTTTATTAATGTCAATTTAACTTTGATACCGTGTACTTTCTTGTTTCTTCCATACAGAGACACAAGCAGAACCTTAATGACAGAGACAAGGCTGTTACAGATCTCGCGAATGAGTTTGACGTGAAAGGTTTGAATGGTCAATTCTCTATTTCTCAACAGTGGCTTGTATGGAATGCAGAAGTAATTTTGTGGGACGCCTTATTATTGAGCTTAAAATTCCTTTTTTTGCACACTATACGCTTTTGATATTTTTTCTTCTAGTATACATGACACCTGTTACAATTATGGTCTGGTGCTTGTAGTCCCTTAGCAATGTAGAGGTCGGGCATGTTCCTCGTTCTTGAAGCTCCAGTAAATACGGTGACCTGAAAAACACCGTTGCTAAAACTGCACTACAGTACACTTTTCAAGATCTCTAAAAATTACTCTCTGAAATTACCCTATCTAAGGGTGGCATTCCCTCTTCTGCACATGGCAGCGCAGTGTGAGAGGCACCTATGTGTCCTTAACTTTTCTGGAGAACCTGCGGTTAAAGCGTTCTTGACACCATTATTATTCCATCTGTCCCAAATTTATTTAATTTATCATTTATTTCTGGATAACTCTGATACAGAATATGAGAGTATCTGTTAATTGTCTTCTGGTCGTTGTATGCATTGTTTAGAAATGTCCTCAGGACATTTAATGATCTGAATAATTCTTTCTTTAGGTTTTGAAAGAGGTCCTTTCTCGGAGGAGAGGGTTGACCGATTTATGGAAGAAATGAAGAAGAAATATCAAAATGTCATCGATGACACAAAGCGCAAAAGGGTGAGAATTATCCTAAGCCAAAAAGGTGATTGGTGTAGTCTGTAAACTTCGTGCGAGTTTGATCAACAACTAAAGCTCAAAGCTTGACAGTACTATGATTGATGTATTTTCTTGTTTTTATGTTTGTGACCATTTGTATTTACAACCTGTAAGAAGTAATTTTGCAATGAGTGCCTTTAATTATTTTTTTAACAGCAAATATTCGATGAAAATATCAACAAAGTGCAGAGAAAAATCGATGATATGAAGAAGAGTCAAGCACAGTGCGAGGAAACTATTAGACTCAAGAACAAAATGATGGTACTTAGATATATCTAGTGTTAAAATGCCACTGCGACGAAAATTTTTTCCGCATTTTTTCAACACAAATCTTGGGTTTGTGTACTTAGACTCAGAGTACTTGTACGTATATTCAAAAAAAACATCAAAGCTTTCTTTAAAAAAGTTCAAAGGAAATTAATATTTAATGAATGTCCTACTTTGATAAAAAACGGCTGAGATTTTAGTGCCGATTTTCTGGAACAAAAATGATAAATAAAAATAACAAGTATAACCCTAAAAACAGTTTTTGTAGCCGTTCAGTGAAGTTATATATGTAGTTCACGTTTTATGACGTTTAAAACACTCTGCTGAGGCTTGTGTTTTTTAAATTGAGAAAACACTCATTAACTTGCGAGGCTTCAGATTTTTCGCTTTCATCCAGTGTTTTGCTTATAACGCTTGTGCGTTAAAATTTGTTATCTTGCTTTTATAGCGTGAAAACCAGCAGAAACTAAGACAGATTGGCCAAGATTTGAGCAATGTTGATGCTTCAGCAAACAGGCTCAAGTCATTGGAAGAAGAACTGCAGAGGGCGGTGGGTACACCTCAAGAACAAATTTCCTACTGTTGCCGTGCATTATCTATACAAAGTTTGTTAATATAATATGCCGTGTAATTATCTTTCTGTGTTTCAAAGTATATTTGAAGTAGTCGGAAAAATAGCTACAAGGAGGAATCTCGTGAATGAGGTAGGAGAACCACGATAACCAAAGGGAAGAAGTTGTTTTGAAGTATTGTCTACCAAGTCACGTTTCTCAATCCGCAAACTTGAAACTTACATCCTTGGTTTTTCTCTTCTTAGCCTGCAACCTGTAGAACGTGCCCGTCGTCTAATTAGCCCACAGCGGTTTTTTAAGCCTCTGTTAATCCTCTACTAATTGCATGTTTCATGCAAGAACAGAACAAATGTGTTTTAATATAGAACACATGGTACAGGCGGTAATGTTGACAAACTGGTACATGTACATGGTATGAATGTGTCCCTACACGTTCAATTATATTTTGTCCCTTCTTCATCATGAGCATTAAAAGGAGATGAATCCAGGGGGTGAAAAAATAACCAGACAGTAGGAGTAAATTGCTTCATAGCGGTTGATTTGTTTCTTCATCCAGGAGAGGGAACTTAATGCAGCACAAGAGAGTGGCAATGTTAATGAATTAGGAAAAGAGATCGACAGGCTGCAATCCGACAAGCGTAATCTTGACAATGAGCTACGGCAACTGAGGGAAGAGCAGCAAGCGATGCACATGCAGTCCACAACACAAGCTAAACTAGACATGTTGTCTAAAGAAAAGAGCACAAAAGAAGATGCAATCCAAAAAATGTAGGAATGTGTGGAACGATTGATGTATATTTTGTAGTTCATATTTATCTTTGTTTTAGTTTTATTTTTTGTCTTTGGGTATGTAATGTATTATAATGCATTTGAAACAAAGGAAAATAAAATGAAAACTAAGGGCACAATTGAACTGCAACGAATAATAGCACTACTTCAAGCTGTTGCCTAAATACCGACGAGGCAGTCTTATTAAGTCCTTAATTGGCTAAATACAATAAGAACTTACTTTGTTACTTTCTTTATGACTTTCTCAAGTTTGAAGGTTTTTTTAAAAAATATTTCCCTATTTTTTACGTAGCACTCAGCTCCTGTGTCTTCAAAAGTGTTACTCATTGGCAGTTAACTGCATATAACCACATATTGAAAGCAAAGTGCTTCTGCTCTTTTTCTCTAGTATGGACCGCCACGAAGAGGATCTAAAATCCATGCTGGGGACACGAGGCACCTCAGAGAACCTCTACACAAGATTACAAGAGCTTCTACGAGCGAAGGAAAGAGAACTGAAGGAAACTAGAAACAATCTGCAGAAACTGAAACAACAGTTGTCTTCAAAGCAAACAAGAAAGCGGATGATTGAGTGAGAGTACTTTTATATCTTTATTTCTATTTTGTTTGCTTTTTAGATAATTTTGGTATAGTCAATAACATAACACTTAGGGAACACCTAAGAGCTTTTAAGGATTCGTTTGGAAGTGGGAAGTGTTTATCGTTTGAAAAAGGCTTAAACCAGGGTACCAGGTGAAAAGTCTCTCCTCTCAAGGTAGGAACCACTAACAACAAGAGGTCGACTTCGGGGTGTGGTCTCAAATTAGCGAGATCGAGGCAAGTGGTGCTCTGCTACACTTGTCCCTCTTGCTTGAATAACTTAGATCTCACAAGCCTTCTGTGCCTTTTTTTTCAACAGAGAGAACTTAAAAGACAAAGAGAATGAAGCGCAACAGCATAGAAGACAAATCTCTGAAGCATGTGGGGAAAATGACTACAACACCACGAGAGAAAGTATCCGTGAAAACATTACTAGTTTGCAGGAGTAAGTGAATATAGTGAGATCCCCGAAACCTTTTTTTATTTTCAAAAGCGGCGAAAAGGGCGTTAGCCATTTTGTGCTTTTGTAACAAATATATGCTTTAGCCGGTTTTATTTTCTGATTTTGCCTAAGTGAGAACATTTCGTTTTGCTTGGCCAAAACACTGCCGATCGAAAAGGGTTTCTGCTTCTCCACATCCAGCTTTTAGACAAGCTCCCTGTTGAGAGGAGCCCTACCTTGCCCTCCCAGAGCTTACTAGCAGGCAACCTCATCTCAAGTATTGTCGCAGTGTGTAAGAAAGAAAGTCATCAATTTCTGCGAAGTCTCAACAGAAAAGCGAAGATAAACCCTAGAAAAATGAGAGAACAACAACAACAAATAAAACTTTGGCTGTGATCCGCTTATAGAGCGTTTTTACTTGGCATCACGGAGACCATTTTCAATTGGTGTTACAAAACAATGAAACTGTGGCCATGCTAGTGTTCCAAACCAATCCTGTGGGAGTTAACTCTTTTTTGTATGTAAACGCTTTCTTTTGTTCTAATTAGTTTGCTTAGATGCTGGCCACGTGATTGAAAACGCTCTATAGACGCGTAACTCGTAACGTAACTCGCGCTGAAACACTTTCTTTGATTCTAGTGAACGAGGTATCATTGGCTCCTTGGAGAAAATCTACTCCAAGTATGTGTCCAAACTGGAAAGTGAAGATGTTCACACCAGCGGCTGTCCTCTGTGTCACCGAACATTTGAAAGCAACAGACAGATTGCTGCTCTCGTTGATGAGGTAAGACTTACAGTGTGATGGCTTTGGGTTTTTCTTTTTCGCAAGAGCCGTAACTGAAGGTAATGTGTAGGGACTACTAACCTATCCCTACAACAGACTTTTCATTATCTTCCATAACTGACTTCTATTATTTTTCTTTTTTAGTTGAGGAGAAAAATTCAAACCCTTCCAGATAAACGAGTGGCAAATGAAAGAAGTCTCGTTGAAGAACAAAACCGCTATGATCGCATTCTTGAACTGGCACCCGCTAAAGAAGCTGTAAGTATTGAAATTGCTTTAGTTTTTGTTATCAAGTGGTCGCTAGACATATATTATTGGTGGCCAGAAAAAGTCAAGGACACTATTACAAGTACAGTGGAATTCGACATCTCAAGGCTTCAATGCAAAACAACCAGGGTAGAAAAGACGAATGATAACGAAAATGGAGCATAAATTATATTTCATGCGAATGTTTATTTCACTTTAGCCGTAGAAAGAACATAAACACAACTGATAAAAACACTACGGCTTGGTACATGACTTCTTACAACATGTCGCCAAATTAGCAACTTTCCTTGTCATATTGGTGGCCAAAATGTTTTTCCATTGGCTGATAAGCTGGTACATGGCGTGAATACATCAATTTTCTTCTCCTAGCTTGAGTCCTTGGAAAGCAACCACATTCCTGATATCAGGTCCAAACTGGAAGAAATGGACAACGAGGTGCGAAGGATCGAGGAGGAGATCACTGAGGTGCGTCATGCCATCAGTCATTCCATTTGTTGTAAATGTAGAACGAGGTGTAAAAAGGTATCAAGATCTCCTCGACTCTGAGATTTCTGGAAACTCGCTTTAAGTAATAGGAGCTAGCCTTGTTCAAACTGACACCTTCAGGACAACTGACTCGGAGGAACCCCTAGACATGTTGTCGTAACTTGGGACCAAAACCAAACCAAACAAACGTTATTAAGAGAGGATGACCACTGACAGTTCCGATAACTGATAAACCTATGGCCCGCTAATTGTCTCCAACTAACTGGAGACACTTTTTAGATGGAATTGGAATTTGGAAGTGTTGGTTTCTAAAACTAGAGTACCTGGAGCACAGAAGAGAGTGAACACAGAAGGGAACGGACAAAAAACAGAACCCACATATGAGGCGTCGACTCCGGGGCTCAAATGCGAAACACATTGGTGGGAAGCTATTTCCTTTACTACTGTCCCATCCCTGCTAAGAGCCGTTTAGTATCGCTTCCATGCTAATAATCATGATAGATCCTTTCGAAAAGTCTTGTCTTGTCTATGTTACCGTAAAATTCCGAAAATAAGCCCCTCCTTGTATAAGCCCCTCCAAATATAAGCCCCACAAACTCGTAACGCATAAAACCCCCCGTTACATCGCCCCTCCGAATATAAGCCCCCTCGGGGGCTTGTACTTGAAAATTGCCCTCAAATACAAAGTAAAACAAAGCCAAAACAGTAAATTTCCTTCCAACTATAAGGCTAGCCCAATCGATTTTGAAACACAAATTTCCCTCCGTAGATAAGCCCTGCCGAATATAAGCCCATCCAAAATAAGCCCCTCAAAGAGAGCCTTTGAAACATATAAGCCCTGGAGCTTGTTTTCGGAATTTTACGGTATTTGCTTCACTTATATACTGCATTTGCTTGGCTTTAGCGTGAAGATGTTCAGAGTATCACCGAAAGCGAGGAGCAGAGTGCTCGACAAATGGAACCTGACATCCGCATGTTGGACAAATACAAGTCAGAGCTCAAGGACATGGACAGGAATATATCCCTACTGCAGTCCAAACTTCATGGAGTCGGTGAGCATGTCCACCTACCCCTCCCCTAAGCCAACATTACCACTTACTTCTCACGTAGAACAAAATGTTGGCTTAGGGGAGGGGTAGGTGGGCAGTTTCCCAGAAACGTATAGTGATCCCAAAGGGCCTTGGGTAAACGCGTTATTAAGCATCAGAATGATGGATTGTGGGTATCTAGCGTTCTCAAGGGCTAATTTTAGTGCTTAGCATTTAGAGGGAGCTCCGCGTTTAGGCTTGGCAGTCCGAACTTCAAGAGTCGGTGAGCCGTTGAAAACTTTGACGAATTACAACAAAGGGCCTTGGATAAAAGCGCTGTAAAGCATCAGAGTGATCGATTGTGGTTATCTGGCGTTCTCAAGGGTTAATTTTAGTGCTTAGCATTGAGAAGGAGCTCTGCGTTTAGGCTTGGGAAGATTTATGTACATTATATGGAGTCATAAAGACCTTACAGCTGCTGTAAAAGTTAAAGTCAATTTCCAGAGGCATAATCAGTAATTCCTTTTACTGGTGAAGTTGTGAGGCTAAGTAGAGCACTTACAATATATACCAGAATATTTTTCACATTGTTTATTTTTTAGGTTGTGTGTCCTTTGTCGTCATGTACCTGCTAGTGCGGTTTATTGTTAAGATATCGAAGCGCCTTTTTTTTTTCTTTTTAAAGCTTCTGGTCGTACCATGCAGTCAGTTTCCAACGACATCTCGGAGAGACAAGATCGATCGTAAGTCTGACGTAAACCGTCAACAATCGAACATAAGTTTGTCTTTAGGTTAACGTACAAGTAGTTGATTGCAATCACTTTTTCATGCAAAAACTGCATTTAAAATCTCAGGCATCCTGATAACACCCCTTTTCATGTTGGGAGCATTCAAATCAGCACTGTCTATTGGTAATCAACTTTTACGCGTGTGGTTTAGAATGTAACATATATTTTTGAGGCATGTGAACTATTTGAGGTGAGGTTGAAACGATAAGAAAAATAGGCTGGTTGTGAGTGCATAATAAATTAATTTACTTATTTATTTCAAGATTTCCACAACGGCAAGTGACAAAACAATAGGACACTTGGTCTCCTTTTAAGTATTTATTACCATAACAGTCCCTTCCCCCGAGGAAACATAGACCTGCCACACTGCCGTTCGTTGTCTACGTCCCCTCGTCTTTTTCGAACAGCAGTGTGGGTTTCTTTGGGTTCTTAGCCAGCGTGATCTATCACTGAGATTTTTTGTTACCCTGGTTTGCGGTCCCTCACGCTTAGCTGTCGCTCTTTCAACTGGGCAGTGAAACGGAGGGGATAGGGGGTGGGTTAGGTCAGATGCAATTCGAAACTTTTTGGTAAATAGTCTGCCTTTATGGGCTACTAAATTTTGAGTGCTTTTGATTTGTTCTCATTACAGAGATACCCTAAATAACAATATTGACAGGAAACGAACTCAGCTGAGTCAACTCCAAAGGCAGCTCAGTGACCTGGGGACGACTGCACATGAACTGAAGTCACAGAAGGTTGGCTCATTTCTTCATTTCTCATATGCTCTTTTTTTTTGCGTTGTCATAGTAACCATTGATTGGCACTCGACAGATGATGACAGATCATCACTACTGGGAATTATATTTTTTATCCTTTTTATTTTAGGTAACGTTTGCAGCCAAAATAATATTGGCGTGTGAATGTACATTCCGACAGTAAACGAGCAATAATTGATATGAAATTAACCTAACGGTGTCGTACGTGTTAATACTTTTCTGTCGGATCTCTGGTAAAGCATCTCTGTGGAAACTCGGACGTGTTTAAAAAATGAATTTAATAAAACTTCGTTAACGACACGAAACACCCCATCGTCGAATTGTGATATCGTTCTAAACGTTTGGTCTCTTTCGAATCACATGTTTGGGCAATACCATTCTGAGACTCTCCATTTGTCATTTACATTTCTTTAATAGTGCGGTGCATGAATTTCTTAGAATTTTAATTTAACACAGTGGCAAAGACTACATCCGAAATTTGCTTTTTCGGGTCAAAACTTCTAATTAACTGCGATGAAACTATCATTCAGAATATAAAATATATTAACACTACTATCAGTAATTTAGGAAAGATATAAAGAGAAACGCCTTTGAGTATATTGTCTACTTTCTTCCGCTGAAATCTTAATCTATATAGAGAGAGAACGGCAAAATTTTCAGTTATATTCGTGTGCCAAACTGCCAAGATTCGTTGTTGTTGAGTTCTTGGTACATAAGACTTTGCACGATAATAGCATAGATAAGGTCCGACATAGCTGTCTTGTATTTCTAAGATCTGGGAAGATAACAGCAGTTGATAATTACGGTGGAAAAAAAGCCACTTGAACCAGAGCAATTGACTGGACACAGGAAACACGAATGAAGTGCATTTTGTACAAGTTGTGATGGCTACTATAAATTTAGCATTCTCTACAAGTACATGAAATTCATCATTTCAGTTTGTTCATGTACACTTAGAAAGGACGGTTATCGGCAATTTTGAAAACGTCGATTTATATTTTTTCTAGAGTAGATACTAGGTTGTTTTCTATCAGGGGGCTCTCTGTCATGTCAAAGATAACAATAAGGAGCAACTAATGTAGATTATGCTGGTTGGACGTTGTAAATAATTAAGGTCAACGTTTCGAAAATTGGCGACCTATTTCCCGGCATGTAATTCAAATTTCGTAGTGAAACACGAATGGCAATAAACGCCAGAAACGCACCGTGCGCTGTCCTTCAGCTATTTTAGGTCTAGCTTCACTTCATTATCATTTAATCAACAGAAGCGATGACTCGACTCACTTATTGTTAATAATTAATGACATGATAAGGTAAATTGTCTTGCCTTCAGCGAAGTAGTTTGTGAATTGGCCCCATCAATTTAGGATTATATCACTTGACTAGATGTTAAATTATCAACTGAAATAAAATTGTAGTTTACTAAACTAAAACGCGCCTGTTAATATTAAGATGTTCTTGTAATGAGAAGATGAATTCTTAAAGCGTTTCCGTTCAATTCGTGATCATAAATTATGACATATATTGCTTCTTTAAAATGACATTGGCGTTTTCTGACAACAAGACCTATCTGGAAGAGATGACTCTGCAAATAATCAGATGTTCTTGTCACGAAAAGGTGAATTTCTTAGCGCGGTTCCGTTCAATTCGTGAACTTAATTTATGATATATCTTGCTGCTGCAAAATGACATTGGCGTGTTCTGACAAAAAGAGACCTATCTAGAAGACATGAATTTGCAAATAATGTGATATCGCATAGACATGTCCACGGCATACAGCACGCATGGAGTTAAGCTGCCGTGTGTTTAGCTTATTATCATTCAAACAAACTTAAGCTAAAGTTAGGGTCGTGGGGGAGCTGCATTGACAAAACACCTGCATCTTCAACTTCCTGCTTTCACGGAGGCTTGTCATGAATACCACAAAGTACATGCTGTTGTGCACGAGTTGACCGGTAAATCTCAGGAGAGGTTTAGTTGTTACGTCCATCTAAACGTGTTTTCTGCAGTAAAATTACAACCACGGTGAATATTACTGCAGACGGACCTAAGTCGAGTTCCTTTGTACATTTATTTTGTTCTCCGGCAGAATTAACTGGCGTCCTGGTCGAGTTAATTTTCCTTATAACGCTGAACATTGTTTTATCCATCACCACAATTTTGGGAAATACTCTGATTCTTATTGCCCTCCAGAAGGAGTCATCACTTTATCCGCCCATCAAACTCCTGTTTCGCTGTCTAGCAACAACCGATCTCCTCGCCGGCCTTATTGCAGAACCCCTCTTCGTTGTTAATTTGACATTCGTGTTGAACGAACGCTGGACCAGTTGTCGCTACACATCTATGGCAAGCTTCCTCGTAGGATATATCTTGGCTTCAGTGTCTTTATTAACAGTAACTGCTATCAGCGTAGAGAGGCTTCTCGCTCTGTTATTGGGTCCAAGGTACAGACACTTTGTCACATGGCGGCGTACTTGTGTAAGTGCGACCCTACTCTGGGTTGTCGCCATTGTTGGTACCGCAATGTTCTTTTGGAATCATCGTATTACTTTGTGGTATGGGTATATAGGCATATCTTTGTGTCTTTTTACCTCGGTTGCATCCTACTCAAAGATTTTCCTCGCTCTTCGCCATCATCAAAATCACGTGCAAAGTCATGTTCCTCACGACCGCCCAAACCAGACGGGTACGCTGAATATCGCGCGGTTCAAAAAAGCAGTGTCCAGTGCAGTATGGGTGCAGTTGACTTTAGTCGTCTGTTATCTGCCGTACGTTATTGCAGATGCTCTGATTGCTGATAAGAAATCATCTTCATTCGCTTACGTTGTTAAGGAATCAACAGTGACTTTAGTTTTCTTGAGTTCGTCTCTGAATCCGATTCTTTATTGCTGGAAGATCAAAGAAGTGAGACAAGCAGTCAAAGACACAATCAGACAACTTTATTCTTTTTAGCTTCTTAATCCTTTCAATCCCAAAAGTCACCAAAGTCAAAATGCGACAAAATTTCCAAATCTCATTTTGTAAATGCTGATAAATTAATGGAACCAGATGAAAGTGCTCGCAAAGAGATTCAATTTGAATGGTCACACTTCAGCATTTTGACCACCGACTCAAAAGTTAGAAGCACTTTTCAGGACTCCATCTTTCCCTTTGGGAGGAAAAGAGTTAAATGTCGTCCGGGTTTACATCATAAAAAAATCTTTCATGTTATTTCAAAATAGGTCGCCTTTGTCGATCCGCGCGAAGCGATCTCTGTTTTAAGGAAGAGTATTAATTACTCCGACTCTGCACGCATCAGTCTCTTAAGATCTTTGATAGCGTGAGATCTGCCATCATTGTCAGAACGACTGTTATTGGTTTGGAGGTTCTAGCCAAACACTTTAGTGCAATCCTAAGACAGAATAGGTTATCGCTTTAACTTGAGTAGACGGCTAATAAAAAAACAGCTTTATACAAAACCTCTCGCCACGATGTTGTTTTTCTCTGAAAATTATGGTTTGATGGCCTTTTTAGCCTGTTGGTGTTTTAAGAATGAGCTGCTGAGTTCAGACATTGATTTCTGTTTTTGTCACTTTCCAAGTGGATGAATTGAAAACTTCAAGAGAATACAACAGTAGATTTCATTGGCAATTCGCATGCTACAATTTTGTAACGAGCGCAATTTACTATCATTTTTATTGTTTACTTCAAATTCAATATTTTCATCGAGTGAAAATAAATACTGTGGTTAAAAATTTTAAGTGACTTGTTTTAAATGTAAGAAGGGAAAGTGGGTGAGAACGCGGGATTTTTTTTTTGATATAATTGTTGGAACCATATGCATAGATGTACCCGGCCAAGTGGGTGTGCAACTTTCCTTGTGCGGTTTTACAGTTCATGTTGTTAGGTAAAAGAATCAGCTGTTTCATCGTCAGGGTCAGGGTTAGGAACCTCTTAGTTCTTTTTTGTTTTGGCTGCAATGGTTTTGCCCATAAATGTTGATCATTTTGAGGTTGCGCCTCAGACTGAGTCTGTGGTGTATGTGTCGAATTGTATTACGGGATTGTCTTGAGGGTCTATGGCTTCTACTATTGGCTATTATGAGGTTTAAATTTGTTCCCCAAAACAGTCCCATAATGCACTAATTCAAGAGACCAACAACCAAGTTTTAAGTGCAACCTCAAAACGGTCAATTCTATCCCAAATTCCTACCCGTGGGTCTTCGGGAATGGCTACTAGAGAGATTAGATTCGAAGACGAGATTTGAATCAAAAGTTAACACGGTTATTTTTATTGATAGAGGTTAAGCACTCTCCCGATCGCAAAATGATAATACTTCTGACATTTGGTAACTTTTTTCCGTTACCTGGACATTTGCCCTAAAACCTGTAGCAGAATGACGCCGGTTATCACGTTTTCACGTCAAAATGACGTTGGTTTACGCACTCACACTATTAAGTATAAAGAAAATAATGTTCTCGTTGTCGTCTTTGTCTTAGATTCTAAAGTTTTCTACTACCAAACATCGCACACTACCTCTGAGCGCAACTACGTAAATTTTTGTTTCTACTTAGCTACGTTTGACAGCGCAGCTCCAGACAAGAACGCGTTTGGAACAGCAGAAAGCTGAACTAACCGCAAATAACAGTGCTTTCACAAGAGAGATTAAGGTGAGTAGGAGTGTTAAAGTTTTTGTAGCTTTAATTTGGTTTAGTCTACGGCGTACAGTACTACTGAATTAGTTGAAATAGATCGTCACGCGAGCGTGGCCAAAGATTTTTGTTTACTTCTGCCCGGAGCTTTTATTCAGTAAATAAACCCACGATAGTGAACAATACAAATTTACTTAGTGCACTTTCCTGCAACGTTTATCACTCAATTCCTGGTTGTCATCAGTTCCCCATTAGCTTTATACTAGCAAAGCAAAGTCTCCTCTGATCATGTTATCTTGTGCTAACGTATTGTAGTCTTCATAGTTAGAAGATGGGGGTACAAGATTAGAAATTTTGCCTCGTAAAACAAAACAAACATACAAGAAAGCAAACGTTACTAAAAGCGGGAAACACTTGACTGTCAGTTCTTCAACCAATGAATTTGTGATGCTGTAGGCTTTAAGTGCCGCAAATGATGGAGACAGGTTTTAGATCTAATTGGAATTTGGAATTGTTGGTTTATTAAGTAATCTTTCAAAAGATCGAGGGCTTGGCCCTTTTCTTACTACCTCTTAGGCTCAAATGCTTACATACAAGCATGTTATATCAACTAATCTAGGTTTTCCAAATTGAAAATCTATCTTATGCCATAGTCTCAATACAAGTCCCATTCTAAAACAAATTGTACTTTTCTTTTTGCCTCGCACAGGAAGCAGAAGCGGAGCTTGGTCCTATCGCGGTATGTACTATCTTTTTGGTTTATCAGTTTAGACCTTGTTGCATACGAAAATGTCAAGCGGAAACTCCTAAGCAATGGCGTTGTAAAAAAGTGTTAGCAAGTATTGGCGCGTGTAACAACAGTCGAAACTTGATTCGAGAAATGCTATTCCAACTGGTGTGGTCAGCTTAGCTCAACGAAACTACAAGTTTATACCAGAAGTATTACATTGCAGCAGCGCTGCGACTATTTTAGCAATAGAGGGTGGACTATTTTCTTGGTGAAACTGTCTGGTAACGAAAATTTGAAAACGCTCCCACTGAACTTGTCATGTTACACGGAACAATTCTTGCTAGCACTTGTTTCAAAGCCACTGAAGATACCTTGCTAATGAGTTGTTCCGCAAATAGTACGGATTAATATTTGTAGTGCCCAAGGGATTCAGTGTTGACTGATTTTTTTTTATCTAGGAAAAACTTGAAGAACTCCAAACTGAAAAAGGAGACGTTGTTAGTCAAAAAGAGGCTTCCGATGATGAGAACCGTAAAGTGGTTAGTGTAAACGTTCTGCGTATTTAATGTTCAACGTTCTTGATCTATTTGATTATGAATGGATAACTACAATCCTGGAGAAAAGCCCTTGGGAGAGTAAAAGCACATCAGCAGTTCTAAGTAAATACCCAAGTAACGTTCGGAAAAACAGTACTGCCCTTTTTTAAAATGGTGAACCCCTCCCCCTTCGGCCCCACCCAATAGAATGTTGAAAGACCAAAGAAATTGTGGCTTGACGGTTTCAACACTGTCCATGGGGTGGAAGGGGGAGGGGTTGGGAGGTGCATTGGTAGTTGAGCTCGAATGTATATTTAGTGCGTGTTGAAAAGCGCTAGAACTGTACAACTGCCGCAAGACTTTTGTCCATGATTGAAGGCATTGTTTGATTTGCTTTTAATTACAGGTTTTGTCTTTTGGTTATCGCATTGCGATCAGCTTAATTTGTTTTGGTGGAAACATAAAAAAAAAAATAAACAAATACCATCAAGTCTATCAGTCAAACAGTCAATCAACAATGTCGTAGCCAGACGTATGGCGTAGACAAGGCAAGACCTGCTATTGCTGACCTGAGGCGATAAATGGTAAGGGGGCAAGCCTCCCAGAAAATTTGCCAAGCTAAAAGCTCAGAAACGCTATTTTCAGCATTTCTCTAGAAACACTTATCTCGCACAAACTGAGGATTCTTTTCGCTGTTGACAGTCGTATTGAAAATTAGGCCAACATACTTCGTGATCTTGCAAACTTTTCAAATTTTTACATGTGAAATTTTTAAAAATCACATTTCTGCTAATGAACTTTGTGCGCTTTAAATAGTTTTTCACGGGACTGAAATGGTTTTGAGAGTTTTGAGAAATGCTTGCCAGGTCAATCAACCAATCAATCAACCCGTTATGTGTTTGTTTTTTAACAGCTCAACGAAATTAAAACAAGAGGAGACAAAGTGCGAGAAAGAAACGCAGAAATCAAACGGTATGATAGAAGAATATACCCATTACGTAAGGAATCTTTCTTCAATCAACAGAAGCGGTGTTATTTGCCCTCAGTTTGAAGATAGTGTTTTATTATATACATACTGAGAAATACTCACCAAAAAGCTATGTCGTAAATTTTCGTACGCAAATTAGTTCTAGCCAATCAGAGGAGCGAACGATGGTTTACACACGTGAAAAAAATGATACGTCCATTCAGAATCGCGAACGATGTTTTTTCACGTGTGAGAAAAATGATACGTCCAATCAGAAGCCACAGAGGTGTGTGAGTTTCGCGTCAAAATTCCCGCCTTTTCACGGCTGTGCTCTAAGGAAAATTGAAGGGAGCCCAGTGCTCTGAAACATTATAATCTAGGGTGCCCAGCATATGATTTGCATGAAAAATTTGAGATTTTCTAGTCGCCCGAGGGCAAAAGTTAGGTGCCAGGGGCCACCGGGCTCTGCTAGAGCACAGCCCTGCTTTTATTGCAGCTTGCAGCGCAGCTTCGCACACATTCAACGAGAAAAGTTTTACTCAAAGAGTTTTTCTCGCTAAAAAAGAGAAAAACATTTTGGAAATGGAGTGGAATAGTTTCGTTTGTTTCACTGTCGATAAAGAAAACGGTAGAGAGCCGGCGAAACAACAGCGGAAAGGGATGTTAGCTTTTGTTGTGCTTTTTGTCGGAGCTACTTTGCCTTTCATTTAAGCTTAAGCTTATATTGAAACCGCCCTGTTTACTTAAATTCACTCATTTTTTATTCTGCATTGAGAACAAACAGTTAAGGTTGCTTATAGTTCTTGGATTACTTCATATCCTCACCTTCATTTATGTTTTTAACAAACGTTTTTACTAAAAAGCTGATACTTCGTTTTCGTTGTCATTTTGCGGTAAGTGTGTAGCGGCAAATTTTAACATTTTTGAAAGATTTAAAATAAAAAGGGCGCCAAAATGATGAATGTCTCAGTATGTATGTAATAAACACAATACCACATGGAAAGTGCTTTGTATGGTATTTACGCACTCGTTGTTTTTGTATCAGAAATCTTACTCGTTCGCTGCGCTCACTCTTTCGATTACTGAGACGTCAACAACTAGTGCGTAAATATCGTACACCAGCACTTTCCATGAAGTATTCTCTATATACGTGTTTCTACACCTTACGATGCACAACGTTCAAAAGCATTCCTAGTAACATTTTGATCGTATTTCCCCACGAATTCTGTCGCTGTCTGCTCTGGCAATAGCAGAAGAAGTGGTCAATGTTTCGCCTATAATTACCTTTGACTTTTTCTGTTCCTGCAATCATGGCTAAATCGTACGAGAGAGTTATTTGTGTCCAATTATATGACTACATTTGATAACACTTCTCATTGAATCTGTCTGGCTTCCTCAAAGGGCACTCATGCTGTTCTGCGCTTTTTAAGATGACCGAAGACTGACTTAATTAGTAATATATTACAAGACAAAAGAAATACATGAGATTAAGATATAAATACTAAACGAAAAAATTGCTACATAATTTAAAAATTATGATCTAGAAAAGGAGTAAAAATTCTATCCCTAAACTGACCTAATATAATTTGGTTATGTACAGCACTCTTTAAAATATTTACAGAAGTTGTCACAGAGAATGTGCGACCACCCTCTTTCGCTCTATTTTATGTTCTGGGCAATATGTTATACATCATTAGACTGCGAGCAGTTTTTTACTTTTTGCAAAGTTACTCCACGAGTAACCTGTGAACGCGAATCACCGATCTGCTTCTCAAAATATTTAAAAACAAGTAAGACAAGTTAAATGTTTTGCTGAAGAAATTTCGCCATAACATAATGGTGCGTATAGTGTTTTTCCCTTAAAGTTATCAATTAAGCATTTCATGCACAAATTACAACTCTTGCGCTTCTCTGTGATCTATTTTATTTCGACTCCATCTTTGACTTAAATCTCGTCACTGAATATCAGAGTTTAGCCGTAGATTTCATGTTGTGTTTACTCTTCCTCATCCTGTCGGAATTCCATGTTTGTTTTCATCGTTTTTTTAATTCGTCGTTTTTTATTCTCACCTGCTCCGTGAATTCGTCCCTTTCAGAAAATCTGACGCGAGGAATTCGTTCTCGTTATTGTTTCAAAGATTCAATTTCTTCGTCACCCGGTTGATATTTTGTCGTTTTGGTCGTCTTGTCCTCGACAAATGTTCCCATTTGAACGGTTGATGTCACCCCCACAGAATTACTTCTCGACTTGGTTTGTATAACCGTTCCGAAAATTAAGACCGATATGATGTACTCGCAAGCTCTCATCAAGAAAGTCAACGTATAACGTGTCCACATGGTCTTGCTGTTGATTTCCAATTCTACTAAGATGCCGTAATCACTAGCCGCCATGCAAATGCTCAGTATGAGCGAAACGGCAGAAATAATGGGAGATAAAAAGACGAGAATGATAATGTTCTTTAACCTCCCTCCCCTTATAGAGTGGCCTAGCTGTCGCGATGATTTTAAGTTTCTCCACATTCTGTAACCCGCTAATGTGTAACCAGCACAAATTAGTATCCCCCAGATGAAGATAGCCACGTACGAAGCAAAGTACCAGAATGCTCGGTCTGAATATAAGACCAGCAGATTAAATGTCAGCATAATTGAAGATAAAAAAGCAGTTATACCTAGCAACACCCAGATGTTTTGAAGCCATGGAGCGGCAAGTGAAGTTTTAGTCGTTTCTAATAGTATGAGAAGTAAGATGCTAAACGCGGACAAAGTCAGTGCCATTGAGAAACAGTCCATAAGAAGCGATGCTATGAATGTACCAATCGATGCATTGTTCATCGATATTGGGCTCCAAACTAGTGCGACTGTCTTAAGAGTCGCGGCTAGAAATAAAATGGCTGTAGTGAATCGACCGTGGATGTTCCTTTTGTTGGGTTTAGGCCTTATGCATTGCTGAACAACCACTAGAAGACAACTCAGAGCAAGGACACCGAACAACGCAGCGAATATGTAAGTGTAACACTCCCAAGCCCAGTGATCGAGGAATTTTTGAAGACTTTCTGTTAAGGGAGATGTAGTTGATGACTTTTCGTCCTGTAGCATTGTAAAACGCTCTCAATTTATTCGACCTTCTTTGATCTCTCACCTTTCTAACTGCCGTATTTACCGAAGTGTCTGTTTTCGCCGCTTTTTTGCATGCAGATGTATTGCTTGTGACGATTGTTTTAGTGTCATATATAATTGAGTTTGTTTTGTTTCTAGCGCCGGAACCTTTTGTCTAGCTTGTCGTTATTAATCTGGTCGTGGGAAAGATAATTACTAAAAAAGTCCTTCCTTTAAAAGTCTTGTTTGATAACTTCCAGCAGTCTTGTCGTGTTTGTGAGTCTTAAAACGTCAAAAACGTGAAAAGAATCTAGGTCAAATCTACTTTTTCAGGGTCCTAACAGACCTGGGGTCTTAAGTTAATTACACAGATTCGATGATTACATTTATATTCGTTTGTTTCACCCGCCGTTTAAATGTAACAGTTTTAAGTCCAATTTTATATCACCTAGCCTGCGTCTTAGACAGCCTAAATCCTAGCCTGTGAACAGTGATATATAGTCTTCGAGTTCTCTATCTACGCAAGCCTCGAGTGATAAGCCCGACTGCAACTTAGGCTGTCATAACAACGGTCTTTTGCAGCTGCTGAATAGACAGTTCACTCGGTTTATTTTTTTGTTTTTTATTTGTTCTTCCCAAAACTGCAAAATGAAAACGGAAACAACAAAGCTGTATATTAAGTAAAGCAGTCTGTTTTTCTGTAAATTTGCAACATTGATCAGCCAAGACCGTTCACGACTGACAACTTCAGCTGTCCAATCAATCACCGCGACCAGCTTGTTTGCTTGATTTTGTTTTTGTTTTGATAAAAAAAAAACATCTAATTTATGAATCAGTCAAGTACAAAATGAATTTCTACAGAGTCTTTTCAGTCCCGTGGCCAGCATCTATGCAAATTTATCGGAACAAAAGAAGGCGTTTACATACAAAAATAGAGTTCAACTCCTACATGATTGGTTAGGAACACTAACATGGCCGCCGTATCCTTGTTTTGAGACACCAATAAGGCCGCCGTGACGTCATGTGAAGACGGACGCTGTATTGGTACTATATTCAGGACTGGTAAATGCTGTGGCACATTTTTGTTTGAAATACTACAGTATTTCCTTTTTTTGGGCCTTACATTGAGGAGTCTTGATATATTTGGTCAAATTTGAGAAGCACTCTGGTACGCTAATCTATACCTCATCGTCTGCCTTTGTTCTGTCTACGGTGAACGTCCCCAGCTGAAGCGCCGGTTCTTCTTTCAGCGGACAACTTCGGGATTTCTTTCCAATGGCGATACCAAAGATTAAAACCATGATGGCAAAATCGCATAATTTTCGAAGAAACTTTATAGCATACCTTGACCTAATTGTCTTTTCAGCGATTTCTAAGCCCTTTAATATCCCGTAACTGTTAGCAGCAAGGCAGAGATTCAGTATTAACGATGCTGTGGTTATTAAAGGTGCTAAAAGCACCAACTGGATGATCTTTTGCAATCTTCTTTCTCTCGTACAGCGAACTAGTTGTCGCGAGGATTTTAAGTTTCTCCACATTCTTCTCCCTGCCACTGTGTATCCTACACAAATTATCAATCCCCAGATGAAGAGGTGTATGTACGAAAAAAATCGCCAAAATTTTCTGTTGTTCAACAAGACCAGCAAGTTGAATGTGAGCATAATTGCTGTTAAAAGGGCCGTTATGCCAAGCAAGGCCCAGATGTTTTGAAGCTTTGGGGCGGCAAGCGATGTCTTTGTCGTTTCTAGCAGTATGAGAAGCAGTATGCTTAATGCAGACAGCATCAAGGCCGTGGATAGGCAGTCTACGAGTAGAGATACTACGAATATTTCATTTGGAGCATCATCAATTACTTTCGGGCTCCAGAGTAAAGCGACGACTTTCATCGTTGCAGCAATAAACAACTGGAAAGTTGTGAAACGAACGTAAATACCGTGGCTATGTGAAGCCTGTGTCCATTGTCTAATAAGGACAACTAAACAGCTCAAGGCGAAAACTCCGAACAAAGCGACGAATAAGTAAATGTAGAAGTCCCAAGACCAATGATCGAAGAATTTGCCAGAACGTGACGGTGTATGATGTATGGTTGTTGAAAGAGCCCTGGTAGTCGATTGCGCGCTGCTATTTGAGTTATCCAATTTCTCCATGCTGCAGTTTAAACACGAGGGTATTGAGATTGGACCATTTCAAATACCGAATTTGTTAAAAAATTAATGTGCTTTACTTGGCTGTTGATCATCAATTATAAAACCTGCATATTAATGCGTTATTCTCGTGTTTGTTAAATATAAACCTTAACGAGCAATGTTTATATTAGAAAGGGTTGCTTTGAAGTTAAAACAAACGAGTTCCATTGAATGGTGTAATTTTAATTTACCAAGCAGACAAGTCAAGGGAATGAAAATTTAAGACGTTACTCGGAAACGCGCTGAATCCTTCCAACCATCGCTACATGGTTAAAATCGTCCATGGTCACCTGCATGGTACATTTAAGAAACCAATAGAGGCTTTCTTTGTCAGTTATGAATGTCACTAAATAATGATTAATTTTTATTCAAATCACGTATTCCAGCGAAAAGAAAATAACGCAAATGGCCTTTTAATTATTAATACGCTTCTTCCTAGCTGCTATTAAATTTCTATTCAACAGCAACATGGGTTAATTTGAACAGTCGTTTCAGCTGCCAATTTAAACTCTAAAATTTCCGGTTATAACTGATCTTCCTAAAAGCTGTTACGACGTTTAATATTTCTCAATCGCTTCAGTGGACAATTTTGATATAAAATACCGATTTTTAATAACCTGCTCTTTCATCACTATTTGATATTCATTCAGAAAAAAAACGCATAATTATTTTATTTGTTATTTCATTTGTTAAATTTTATAATCTTTACCATAACCAATTTTTTTTTGCTTTTGTATGCGTGCTCTTTTTGTTTCCAATATTTGCTTTTGAACTAAGGCAGTTAATCTCCCGTAACATCGGCCTTTTCCAACGGACCAGAATCTACCCTTCCCAGCTAGGAAAGATTCCCTCTGCGCCTGGATACCCCGAGAAAATGTCCACTGCGTTTATAAGCGTTTTAAGTTAAGGTTGTTTTCTGTTTTCATTTCCTAAGATTCTATTGTGCTGTATGAAACATGCATGAACAATAAATGTAAATATATTTTCATTGCTAATTGTACAACGCCCTCACTTGCGCCACTTCCACCAAGTTGCCTAGACAACTTATGACACTTGCACTAAGTTACTGTAACAGCGGAGGTTTCGTCATAAAGGCCGAAATTCCCCTTTTGAAACTTCTCAAAACTTGCTGTACGAATGGTAACAAAAATCTTAAAAATGATCGAACAGTGAACAGCAGTAACAGACACTCGGCTCCGAATTATGGTCAAAGTTTCGAAGTGACTTCCTTGGGAATTCAAAAATGCGTTCGCAGCTTAAGAGGTGGTCGTTTACGAGAACAGGCTCTCGTACGCGCCCAAGTGAAACGCGTATTTTACATTAGAAGAGCAGTCACTTACGAGAGCTTTTAGCCAAAGTTTGACACATGTTATTTATTACCGATACCTCATTTAGATCATGTACTACCTTAAATTTATCCTACGTGAGGTCAATGCTTGATCAATGAGGTGTTGCAATACTGGTCTTGTGTGGAACTGTTTGCCTACAAGAGTGTTCGCAAGGAGTGCGTGAGCTGTAATTTTCTGTTCTTTTCTCGATTTTTGCAATTTTTTCGAGTTCAAAGTCAAGTATTTCATTTCACTTGCTGTAAAAACAATAAGAATACTTCAATTGTCTCTCAATTAACTGACGTAAACAAATCCTTTTTGGAATAAAAAGCCCAATATTTCCACTTTTTCTTTGAGTTGAAAAACGCAAGGTTCTCTTTGATGAGTTTTTTTTTAAAATCAATTTTATCGTTAGTTTTATTACTATTTTCTTTAGCTGCAAGGCCATTATCGCTGATTACACTACCCTAAAACAAAGGAAAATAAGATTTATAAGAAAGAAAAAATCTGAACCACTATATACATTTGGGTGTACGTCCTCCTTTCGAACTTCATTCAATGTCTCATTTATATTCACTGGACTGGTCCGGATTTGCTCATTTGGCAGTATCATATTAATAATTTCGAATTTGTACCATGACTGACGTAAACAAATCCTTTTTGGAATAAAAAGCCCATTATTTCCACTTTTTTTTCTTTGAGTTGAAAAACCCAAGATTGCCTTTCAGACCCTAATTTCTGATCCATTAAGGTTAACCTTCAGGCCCGGGTTGTTCAAGCGTTGGATAGCGCTATCCACCGGATAAATCGCTATCCAGCAGATAACTAATGGGGAAACTAATTGCAATATCCACTGGATAGAGATTTGTCCGGTGGAAAGCGCTATCCAGCCTTTGAACAACCGAGGCCAGGCCAATACCACAGGATAATTTGCTTAGCTGCTTTGTGCACCACATTTTTATTCTAATATATATATTTTTTGATTAAACTGCCGTGCATACATTGCTAGTATATGTCACCGTAAATGTATAGTAGTTTCTTTAAATTCTAAAATTTTATGCAACGATATGATATTCAGAATGCGACGGGACATTTTCCATTTGGTCATTTGAATAACAAAGATATTTAAGTTAGGAGAGCTTGGTCATATTTTTTATTTAATTAATGATTTTTCACAATTGAGCAATAGGTTCTCTTTGATGAGTTTTTTTAAAAATCAATTTTATCATTAGTTTTATTACTATTTTCTTTAGCTGCAAGGCCATTATCGCTGATTACACTACCCTAAAACAAAGGAAAATAAGATTTATAAGAAAGAAAAAAATTGAACCACTATATACATTTGGGTGTACGTCCTTCGTTCGAACTTCACTCAATGTCTCATCAATATTCACGTTCGGCAATCTCATATTTTAATAATTTGGAATTTGTAACATACTGTCGACCTTTAGTCGTATTCCCGTAATTGTGAGTAAATTATTTCACCTGCGGTCTCTGTCTTTTCACGACAATTCCAAAATTGTTAATTAACTTTGTTCACTATGATAGTCTTGTCCATGTCTTGTTCTTCCCTGTGGTGTTTACTCGTTGTGTCTTCGCTGAATGTTCCGAGCGTTATTGCCGGAGCGTCATTCACAAAGCGGCGCCTGACTTTTTTCCACACGACGATTCCAAAGATCAAAGACATTACGGCAAACTCGCCACTTCTTTTTAGAAACATGATTGCATATGTTGACCAAAACCACTCTCTAGTTACCTGTCTCCCTGTGTACAAGCTGTAGTCCTTAGCGTCCAGTACAATACTCAACACTAGCATCAGTGCAGCTAAAAAAGCTGAGATAAATACTTGTCTGATAATATATTTTAATCTTGGCTCTCCCGTAACACGTCCCAGCTGTCGCGATGATTTTAAGTTCCTCCACATTCTATATCCTGCAACGATGTATCCGACACAAATTGCTATTCCCAAGATGGAGAGAATCGAATTCGAAAGCAAATGCCAGATTTCTCGCAACCCGCAGAATACTAGCAAGCTAAATACCAGTAAAATTGCTGTATAAGCAGCCGTAATACAAAGCAAAACCCAAATGTTTTGTAGCTTTGGAGCTGTCAGTGAAGTCTTGGTTGTTTCTAGAAGTATAAGAAGCATAATGCTAAATGCGGATAGTACCAAAGCCTCCGAGAAGGACTCTATGAATAAGGCTGCCATGAAAATTTCCTTTGGCGCATCGTGTAAGAACAGTGGAGTGACAAGATGTCTGAGAAATTTGAGCGTTGCTGCAAGTAGTAATTCAGCTGTTATAAATCGGCCGTGGTTATTTCCGTTTCTAACAGCCTGTGCCCATTGCTTAACGAAAGCAATGAAAAAAATAACCGCCAATGCTCCAAACAGTGTTACGAATGTGTACGAATAGAGCTTCAAAGCCCAATGATCTGAGAGTTCGTCAGGATTAAAGGATGAATTGTTCATGCTCATTCGAGGATACATTTTGAAGAGTATCTCCGAAATTCGTTTTTCTGACATATTTAAGAAACTATCCTGTAATTTGCCAGTAATCAGTTAAGAGAGATGTTTATCATAAGAGGAGTCCATATGCTAATGATGTGTATTAAGAACATGTAGAAAGAACCAGCTGGGAACTAGTTTTTCTCAAAAAAAAAAAACAACACGTACGAGTCAAGATAATAATTTTCTTGTCAATCAAAATTATGTTTCGAGCTGGAATGGACAAGATAATTGTTAAGGATGAAGCCGTTGTAAAAAAACTTATTTTTGTGCGCACAAGATTAACAATAAAGGACAAATAAAGGAAAAAAACTTAGTAGGGTTGTCGTGTGCTTAAAACTGGCTTTCCCTGTTGGCCATGAACGGAATCCCAAATCACTACTTTAATGGGTTTGAACGCGGTCGCTCATTTCAGCCACAAAATAGGGGAAGTAACACAGGAGGCATTTCAATCAGTCGAGAAACAAACACTCTGTCTAACAGCCTGTTTCTGAGTGGTTAAAAAAAACTTGGATTTATCAAACCACTGTGCACAATTTCCTACGATGTAAATCCCTCAAGTTTTTACAAGAATTCCGCTAAAGATTTGCTCGTGAAAACGTGAAAAGTGTTCATCACGTTTTTCCAGAAACACGTCAAGGGGTAATATATCTGCCCCGGGGCAATTATATCTCTTTATTGAAAACTCATGATCTGTCTCCATGTACTAAGAAAATTCAGATATGACGTCATGACGGGAAAAACGTGTGATATAATTAAAGAAAACGGAAATACTAAATCAGTGTACGTACAAAGATTGGCAGAATAGCTATGGTTTATTAATCGGCTGCTGGCAAAGTACAGTTTTCTAAATATGCCAGAAAACAAGAATTCTGGAGATACTTTGTTCACAAACGCACCCTCGAACAGGTACAATCCATCCTCTAATCCTGACGAACTCTCAGATCATTGGGCTTTGAAGCTCTATTCGTACACATTCGTAACCCTGTTCGGAGCATTGGCGGTTATTATTTTCATTGCTTTCGTTCAGCAGTGGGTACAGGCTGTTAGAAACGGAAATGCTCACGGCCGATTTACAACAGTTGAGTTACTACTTGCTGCAACGCTCAAATTTCTCAGGCATCTCATCACTCCACTGTTCTTACAAGATGCGCCAAATGAAATTTTCATGGCAGCCTTATTCACGGAGTCCTTCTCGAAGGCTTTGATGCTATCTGCATTTAGCATTCTGCTTCTTATACTTCTAGAAACAACCAAGACTTCACTGACGCCTCCAAAGCTACAGAACATTTGGGTTTTACTTTGTATTTCGGCTATTTTTGCAGCAATTTTACTGGTATTTAGCTTGCTAGTATTCTACGGGTTCCGAGAAATCTGGTATTTACTTTCAAATACGATTCTCTTCATCTTGGGAATAGCAATTTGCATCGGATACATCGTTGCAGGGTATAGAATGTGGAGGAACCTAAAATCTTCGCGACAGCTAGGACGCGTTACGGGCGAGCCAAGATTAAAACATATAATAAGGCAAGTATTTATATCAGCTGTTTTAGCTGCCCTGATGCTTATACTTGATCTCCTGATAGCTGCTAAAATCTACAGGTTTTACAAACGCAGACGGGTAGCTAGTAGAGCGTCGTTTTGGTCAACGTATGCGGTCATGTTTCTGGAAAAAAGTGTCGAGTTTGCCGTTATGTCCTTGATCTTTTGGATCGTCGTGTGGACAAAAGTCAGAGGCCACTCTGTGAACGACGCTCCGGCAATAACGCTCGGAACATTCACCGAATGTACTGTGAGGAATCACAAAGGGGAAGAAAGGACAAGATACAGAGAAGACTTTTAGGGGGACACAACTTTAATAGATAACTTTAGAATTGTCACGAAGACAAAGCCGAGCCTGTAAGTGTGGTACCAGAAGTGCAGGCGGAAAAATCACTTAAAATTGCGAGAATAAGGTAAATGTTGACATCACGCTAACGGTAGAATAACATTAAATTCGAAGTTGTTGTGAAAATGCTGAATAAAGATTTAAAAACATTAACTGAAGATTGAAAGATGAACGTACACCCAAGATTTATGTTGTGGTTCCTTTTTTCCTTTCTTTTTAATTTTTTTTTCCCTTTGTTTTTGGATGTAGTAGTGAGTGATTAACTATGAGTTTGAATCCAAAGAGAATAAAATTTAACAACAAAAAGCACGTCAAAGAGAACCTTCATTGTATTGCACCAATTGAGAAAAATCATTAAAAAAAATAACTTTTGTCATTCAAATGACAAAATGTCATTGATAAATGTCCCCTTTCATTCTGAATTTAATATCACTGCATAAAATTTTAGAATTTTAACAAAATTTTAGTACGTTTACATTGACATATACGGATAATTTATACAATGTAGTTTAATTGAAAAATAAAGACTAAATGAAAAATCCGCTATGTATCCCTAAAGGGCTATCATAATGGATCCTGAACAAGGGTCTGCAAAGAATTCTTCTGTTTTTCAAACCAATATGAAAAAAATGGAAATACTGGGCTTTCTATTCCAAACATGATTCTTGAGGGTCTGTTAATTTGAGCGACAAGTTTACTGTTCGTGTTGTTTTTTTAAGGCAACTAAAAAAACATACTTTGTACTTGACATCTATTTACAAATCGACGACATCTAAGGTGGTTGTCACTTTTCTTCAAACAGGGTTTGAGTTTCTAAAGTGACCGATGGATTTTGTTTTAACAGGAGGAAAAATTTAGATGGGCTTTTAAAAGGAAATATGGCTCTTGATTTATTCGTTTTACTCAGCTGCTTTCTGTTCGTAATTGAACTGGTTCGCGTTCACGATTTTACGTAGATCTATCGACATGTTAGAGTAGTTTGTAAAATGTGGGTGAAGGAAAACTTCAAAGTTATGCTGTCAGTTGCGTCATTTAAAACATAGATTCAAATGACTTTTGCTTTATTCCTCATTGATTTTGAGCAGTTACGTGAAAGGTTCTACTGCTGGAACTTCGTTCTTGAACGCTTAGCCGAGTTGTACTGTTGGGTTCCTTCCCTACCAGGACTGTTGCAGATGTGTTTATTCGTCAATACCACTTAAACGCATAAATTTATAATCAACCATAGGGAAACTTCCCACTAGCGGTCATCCTCGTTCACGCATAATATAGGGGTATGAAATAAAATGCGCGATCACTTGAGCCAAGTAGGCGGGGTTTATCGAGGTGACTTTCCGAAGTCTTTCTGAAGTCAGGCTCTGGTGCCAAAGGGAGTTGTTTTTCGAGTATTTCGTATCACGTAAGACAGTCTTGGGTTCTGCAGGGCCGCATTGTTCAAAGCAGGGTTAAGATAACTCAGGGTTAGTGCGGTGTTTAAATTCAGATAAGAAGGCTTAAAAAGCAAATTTTGTCTAATTCTTTTTGCCTGCATTGTAATGATATGATGCTCTATAAAGAATAAAGAAAGTTCTCCGATAAAATGCTTTTGAACAGCCGGGCCGAGTTGTTCAAAGCTGGGTTAAGATAACCCAGGGTTAGTTCGAGATTTGAATTAAGATTTGAAAGCTTGAAAAGCATTTCATTTTTAATTCTTTTTGTCTACAAGTTGATAATTGGAAGCTCTTAAAATAACAGAGAAAATTGCCTTTGAGAAAATGCTTTTGAACACAAGAAAAGGAAACTAGGGTTAAATTTAACGCCAGGTTAAGCGCTAATCGGTCTTCGAACAACTGGACCCAGAAGAATAAGAAAGACAGACTAAAATGTTATCCTGGATTAGCGGTAATTGGGCCGAGTTCTTCGAACAGGATTCCGGATGCCATTAACAAAAATTTCCTGTATTCTGGAATTCGGACCTTACATGAGACGAGGATTCACACTGGAAGAAATCTAGAACTTTGATATGTTGTTGGTCTTCCTCGTATTTCCTCATTTCATCTTCATCAATGTTTCACTGCGTCAGCGGAGCTTTGCCTCCTCCGCAATTGCAAAGTAATTTTAAGTTGTGCATTGCTGTCGTCTCGGCTTCTTTCAGCTTATTTCTCGCTTGTTAGTGTCGTATCTTCCGCAAAAGTTCCCAGTTGTACTGCTGGGCTATCATGCACAGAACGGCCTCTATGTTTAGTGGACACGACAATGCCAAATATCAAAGCCATCATCGCAAACTCACAACTTCTTTTCAGAAATATGAGTGTATACCTTGACCATATTGTTCTGCTAGTTATCTGTCTGTCTGCAAATAATAAGTAGTCTTTAGCGGCCAACGATTGATCTAGTGCTAGCATCAGCAAAGCCGTAAAAGCTGCTAGAAATGCTTGTTTCACTATGTATTTTAATCTCAGTTCGCTCGTAGACCGACCAAGCTGTCGCGAGGATTTTAAGTTCCTCCACATTCTATATCCTGCGACAGTATATCCGATGCAAATTACTAATCCCCAAATGAAAACAACGAAGTTGGCAATTAAAAACCAGGTTTCTCGACTTCCGTATAGGACTAGCAAGTTTAATGTCAGCAGGACTACGAGAAAAACAGCCGTTATGCCAAGCAACATCCAGATGTTTTGGAGCCTTGGAGCGGCCAGTGAAATCTTTGTTGTTTCTAGAAGTATGAGAAGCAGAATACTGAACGCAGATAGCAACAAAGCCTTTGAGAATGTCTCTATTAGCAACGATGCTAAAAAGATTTCAGTAGTTGCATCGCCTAAAGATGTCGGCGTGCAGAGGTGGCCGATGACTTTAAGTGTTGCAGCAAGGAATAACTGAACTGTTGTGAAGCGACCATACATATTCCGGCTCGGAGAGGTCTGCATCCATTGTCGAATAAAAGCAACGGCACAAATCACCGCTAAAGTACCGAACAGGGTTGTGAATAGGTACAAGTAGAGATCCCAAGCCCACTGATTCGGTATTTTGTCAAGATTGCGAGATGGAGTATAGGCGGTCGGAGATATGTTCATGGCGTGCGAAATAGCTGAAAATGCGGTCATGCTGTTGCATTCGCGGCGCAGGGTTTGCTTTGCAAACAGCTTATACCTTAGTCCTAGTTACAAAGCCGTGGGTTTTGCATAAATAATTACCATTTCAAACCCCTATTAAATGGCATTGAATTGTTTCTTTACAGTGTAAATTTCTATTACTAAGTGCTCTCTTTGTGTCAATTTTTTCCTTTGTTAATGGACTGTATTCTTTGTACAGGTAAAGTCAATCCAACCATATATGGGTTTTGTCTTTTTGTTTTTGTTACTGCCTTGTTTGTTTGTCGGCTCTTAAAGTTCGAGTCAATCTCGGAACCCGACCATCCACATGATCCGGATATTTTTGAAATGCGTTATAGTTTTTTTTATACGAATAGGCCGTGGACGAACGAGCGATTCACTGATTTCGTGTGGTTTCAAAAATATTCGCCGGATTCGTGTGAACGGTGCTTCAGTCTCTACGTTTTAACAGATATAGATACTTATAGGGGACTTGTGTCGATTTGCTTTAAGCGCCGGATAGCGTCCGTAATACAATGTAATAGTATAAAAGACTAGCGCTGCTTTCATATCTGGGAAATACGCCCGACGGATCGTCACCTAGTGGACTCAGTCTGGTGTTGACCAGAGTCAAACAAAAGAAATTTACAAAAGTAATCCAAATATTTTGAAGCTAAGGAGTAAAATTTTTTATTCTTTAAGTAATATATCAATCATGAAACGCAGTGTTTGATCACCAGATAAAACACCGAGAAGAGAGTTGAAGATACGACGCCCAGCAGAGTATTTTTGACGAACTTCGAGGTGTTTCATGTAATATATCAAACATGAGACGCAGTGTTTCATCACCAGATGAAACACCAAGAAGAGAGTTGAAAATACGACGCGCAGCGGAGTATTTTTGGCGAACTTCGAGGTTTTTCATCTGGTGATGAAACACTGTGTCGAATGTTTGATATTTCTTCTGAAACAAAATCATTTTTGAAGGAGAAATTAAGGATGCAAAAATGAGCAGTTTTTCATCTGATATCCAAACACTCATTAAACATTAATTTCCTTTGAATTTTCTTTATGAATTATTAATGAGTTTGAGAACTGGTGATGAAACACTGTGTCGAATGCTTGATATTACTTCTCAAACAAAATGGTTTTAGAAGGAGAAATTAAGGATTCAAAAAAGAGCAGTTTTTCATCTGATTTCCAAACACCCATTAAACATTTATTAAAATTTCGTTGTATTTTCTTTTTTAATTATGAATGAGTTTGAGAAGTTAATGATAATACCAGCATACGCACCAACCTAAATTGCTTAGATGTCGATCAGCTGCACCTACTACCCTGCAGTTATCATTGAGAGAATGTGTAGCCGACAATCATTTTAGTAATTTGTTTTTTTTTTATGTTCCAGGTACGTGAGTCTGGGAGGAGATTCAGCTTTACATGAGAACGCATCTCGTTTGAAGGAGTTGGAGGGACGAGCTCAGAAAGCAGGGGAAGAAAAAGAAGCCGTTTCTAGTGAAATCGATAAGCTGAAGGAAGACATTGCTAAGCAACAGGTTAGTTAACCCTTTAAGTACCAAGAATGACCAACATCAATTTTCTCCTAACGATGTCAATTGAAGATAATAGGTTAGAAGAATTAATAGAATGATCATCTACTAAGGGAAAATGCTGTGATCGTTTCTCAATTTTATTTATACATTTATTTGTACAGGAACATTTGGTTCAGCGTGGCTAATTTAAACACAGTCCGAAAAAAACAAAATAGTGAACGAACAAAATAAAACCAAAGAGAATCAATATACAGAGAGTGGCGCACTAAAAGTATGTAGACACGCGACAACTAATAAGAATACCCTGGCGCTTGAAATGCTAAGGACTTGAACGTAATTTCTCTCAACCAATTCTTTAATAAAGTGTATGGAGATCTGTCTGTAGAATTTGTATTGAGACCGTGGGGCTTAAGAGATCAATAATTTGCGTGTAGTGTAAATTTTTCGCCTTGCTCATGCGTCTGTACTTGTGCCATTTGTTATGTCTCTTTTAGATTCGTGCGCGTGAGCTTGAAGATAATATGCAGCTGAAGAGCACTCAAGAAGAGATTCAGAACATCGAGAAGAAAATAAACGATGTTAAGAGAGAACTCAAAAAGTTTGGAGAGCACCAGGACCTTGTGACGTAAGAATATGGGTGCGGGGGAGGTTCTTGTTCAAATGTTATTGCTATTATTTCTCCAATTTACCGTTTTTTACGTTTTGAACTTCTTTCCAATTTTCCATTTTCTTCGTTTTGAACTACTTTCCAACCATTTCACGTCGGTTCATTTCGTTCTCTTATAGTCAGAGGCAAGATCTACAGCAACAGTCTGATGAATTAAGGAAGAACGTACGTTGTAAAGTCACATGCTTTTTTGTATTAATTCACATTTTCACTGCTTGCCTCTGATCTGTTTTTTTTTATTATCATTATTGTTATAGAAAGCGCATTATGAAGGACGGCTGAGAGGCTTCGACGATGAGGTGAAGAGATGTCAGAGGGAGCTGCGCAGTGACTTATACAAAAATGCTGACGAGAAGCACAGACAGCAGATCATTGCGCTGAAAGTATGTAATGGTAAAGAGTAGACAAGCTCGCAAATTGTCAGTTTTGAAATGTTTATGGATCTTCAGTGGTAGATCTTTTAGTTTCAATTAGTTAACGGTAGTGTAGCTTCCGCATGAGCGAGGTTAGAGGTTTGGACGAATTCTTTATAAATGTTTTGTTGTCCCAGGCTCTTTAAAGTGAACAAATCTATGTTTTATTGTTGTAATTTCTGATGGACTCACTTGGTAAACCTGTTTGAAATTTTTTTCTCTCAGACAACTGAAATGGCAAATGCAGATCTTGAGAAATACTACAAAGCACTGGACGGGTAGGACTATGACACATTTAAACAAAAGTTAGTTAGAACTTTGAGGATTTCAGTGATCAACTGAATTTTGCTGAATCGCCTTAACACTTTCGATTGATTCTTCAGGGCTATCATGCGTTATCATGGCCTAAAGATGGCAGAGATAAATAAAATCATCAAAGAGTATTGGATCAACACTTACAAGGGAAATGGTAAGTTCATGTCCGTCAGTTTCAACAGGAACAGACAAACTACGGGATGAACGTATGTAGGTTTTCTGCCACAGACTCAAAAAGCCATAGCCATCTTGTACAGGAAGACACACGTTGTTTCCACAATATATAGTTTCATCTGAATGGCTGGGTCACTACTGCACAGTTTATTCACCTTTTTATTCCAACTGTTAACCCTTTAAGCCCCAAGATCCAAATACAAATTCTTCAGACCGATCTCCATACATTTCTTTTAAAAATAGTTGAGAGAATTTGGTTTACGATCAAAGTATTCTCCCTTTGGTTATCAATTTAGTAATTCTTATAACCTTTACTCTTGTTGATCTGCTGATGTTGTTAGGAGAAAATTGATATTGAACACTCTTGGGACCTAAAGGGTTAAAGCAAGTAGAGTGACAGTATCAGAAGGTCCCGGTTAATAAGATAAGAAGCAAAAGCCGTTGCTTATCGCGACTGTCGAAATCGTTCAAAATAGGATATATCTAGCACGGAGTGTTTTATGCGATACTCAGAAGCAGAGGAGTAGATTTGATATTGGATAGAACGCTTCCTGTCTTAAACCCTTTCGACTCTTAGACCACGTTATGGTGTAAGCATGTTGATGTGATAATCTTAAACTGTTACCATTCAATTAGCAGACAATATGGCAGAATTTTACCACACTGCTTATAATTTCCTAGGATTTTACAAAACGTCAAGTCGATTTCTTTTTTTGTGCTCATTATTAGTACAGCTAGGGTTACAATGCACTTTCAAATCTCCTTTAGTTTGTCATGCATACGAGTTTATCACACGTCTCATTCTATCTCATGCAGATATCGACACCATTGAAATTCGGTCAGATGAGGAGGAAGGAAGCGGAGCATCGAAAGCACGACGGACATACAATTACAGGGTAAACCTATGTTTATTGCCTGCCTTTTTTTATTTACTCCTCTTTCGTTTACGACATTTCTGTTCCACTGAACCGGAAAAGACGTTGACCTCTTCGGTCGGAAGTATGCAAGTTAGCACAGGTTTCGAACTACTAAGTACGATAAGCACAGTCAGATTCAAGGTTTCAGCCAGATTTACATTCATATCCAAAGTTTTCAATTGATCATCCACGGCTTCGACTTAACGTGATATAGTTTGACTGGAAAAATCACGCGTTATTTTCTTGACCAATCAGAAGTAAGATCCAAACGTTATCAGGACAGACGTTTTCCCGCGCTTTTTACTGTCAACGAAAATAGCATCAAGTTCTGATTGGTTCATTTCAATTCATGCTCGTATAATGATTGGTTCTTTTGATTTACATGAATGGCTTCCATATTATGGTTGGTTTATTTTAATTTATGCACTTGACTGGTCTGCTCGGTTCACTTGAATTCCTTTCATATAGACCTTTTTAGCTTGTATTGTGTTTTCCCAATTTTAACCTCCACGTGGTGTTGTCAAGGAGAAGTTATCTTTTCTAAAACTTACGCATGCGTATGCACGTGGATAAGACAACTTATATAAGATACAGTTCTCTGAGGTACTATCACGTGATCTGAAATGAGAAAACAAGCATACAAGCTGAAAAGGTCTCTTGTGATTGGCTCTCTTGAGTATTTGCTCGTGTTTTGATTGGTTCATTTGAACTTCTGCACCTATTAACGACTCGCCAAGATAATTGCATTGTAAATGATTAAACTACTACTCTTAACTGTAGCCCTTCCGCCGTTAGGTTGTTATGCTTAAAGGCGACACTGCCCTGGACATGAGGGGGCGCTGTAGCGCTGGACAAAAGGTTTGTATATATGTCGTTTTTGGGGTTCCCCACACCACCCCCAAATGCTAAAGCCTTTAATAAGAAACCTAATTCACTTGTATTTTCGCCCCGCATTCCTCAGTTGATTTAATAACTGAGATGGAAACGCCCTCCGAAAAAGGAGTCATTTGAAACGAAGGCTTAAGAATGCTCATGTCCTTTGTATGCGATTCAGTTTCCCAGAAGGAAATTTTTAAAATGGAAAATCCATCAGCGCATGCCCTTGCTGTACCAGTCTATAATTAATCGGTGATAAAACACAATCTCACTTATAATTTTCCTTCTTATCGTTTGAACTTGTAGCTTTTTATCCGTTGACGTTTTTTGAAATAATGGAAAAGGAAACGCACAAAATCAGCGCGAGAGTTTGTCCCTGGACTGATGTAGCACCGCTGTACAGCGCAAAAGTCGGCTGGTCAACGGTGGTAGCCATGCACGACTGACAAACAATTTGAACATCGCGCGAAGTATTTTTCCATCTCAATCACTTTTGAAACTGTTTTCAGCTCTTGAATAGGCCATTTCCGAGTTCCCCGGGGCCTCTGTATCAAACGAGGTTAAGTGCTCAGCCTTTGATGTGGAAATGATTTTTCATTCTCATGCAAATAAAACTCATTTTCACGAGAAAGGTTGTGCACTTGGCCTCATTTTGAAAGTGAGGGTTTTTGGAACTCGGAAGTGACCTATTGGAATAAGTGTTAATTTCCATTAATTTCAGGTTCTGGCTTCGCTGATTATCATGTGTAACATTGTTTAATTTCAGGTTCTGGCGTCACTGATTATCAGATTAGCCCTGGCGGAAACGTTTTGTTTGAACTGCGGTATTCTAACGCTTGACGAACCAACTACCAACTTGGACGAAGACAATATCGAAAGTTTGGCCAACCAGTTGGCTTCGTAAGTCTTCAGTTGTTCTTCTTGAAGTGAGATGATTAAGCAGTTGCAAAATAAATACAAACAGCTGTTTCGGTCGTTGTTGTTACTTTGGTTGTTTACTTTCTCATTTAACCTCCGCCTGGCCTGTTCAACCTCAGCCTGACCAACACTCAGGGTCTTTAAATGACTGAGAAGAAAGTGTAATGATATCTGCAAACAGTTAGACATTCTAGAAACCGTCTCACAACCCTTGCTGACATACCGTAAAATTCCGAAAATCAACCCCGGGGCTTATATTTTTGAGGGGCTTATCAACGGAGGGAAATTTGCGTTTCAAAGTCGATTGCGCTAGCCTTATATTTGGATGTAAATTTGCCGTTTTTGCTTTGTTTTACTTTGTATTTGCGGGCAATTTTCCAAGTACAAGCCCCGGGGGACTTATATTTGGAGGGGCGATTTAACGGAGGGTTTTTTGAGTTACCGGATTGGGGGCCTTATATTTGGAGGGGCTTATTTTCGGAATTTTACAGTATAATAAATTGTATGGGACGTTAAAAAACCTACACACTGCTAGCAAAGAGTAAGGGATGTAGGCCCCGGTGTGGTGGTTGTGTCTCAAATTCATATTCCCATTAGGGCACATCATTACTCATTACTACATAACTTGAAAGCTGCGCCATTTTAAAGCAGTCTGACAGAAGTCTCCCAACCAGTACCCTGAAAAGCAATTTAGCAAGTGGAGTACTTTTTTTCCTTATTTCACAGAGTTATCAGGACAAGACAACTCCAGAGGAACTTTCAACTTGTCATCATCACTCATGACGAAGAGTTTGTAGAGAACCTTGGAAGAGCGGACTTTGTGGATTATTACTTCAGGATCTATAAGGACGAGAGGTAAGGTGGGAGTCCAACGGAAGGGATTTAGTCTACCTATCCGGTATAGTTATTAGGAAGCTTAAGATCCGATGCCGGCGACCGCTACGAAAACGTTACTTAAATAGTGAATGGTCGCTGCTTTAAACTTTATGACGCTTATTCTATCTTTGTCATGCATACGAGTTTATCACACGTCTCATTCTATCTCATGCAGATATCGACACCATTGAAATTCGGTCAGATGAGGAGGAAGGAAGCGGAGCATCGAAAGCACGACGGACATACAATTACAGGGTAAAACTATACTTGTTGTCTGACTTGTTTTATTTACTCCTCTTTCGTTTACAACATTTTTGTTCCACTGAACCGGAAAAGACGTTGACCTCTTCGGTCGGAAGTATGCAAGTTAGCATAGGTTGCAAACTACAAAGAACGATAAGCACTGTCAGATTCAAGGTTTCAGCCAGATTTACATTCATATTTAAAGTTTTCAGTTGATCATCCACGGCTTCGATTTAACGTGATATAGTTTGACAGCAAAAATCACGCGCTATTTTCTTGACCAATCAGAAGTAAGATCCAAACGTTATCAGGACAGACGTTTTCCCGCGCTTTTGACTGTCAACGAAAAATTAATAGCATCAAGTTCTGATTGGTTCATTTCAGTTGCCGCACGTATAATGATTGGTTCTTTTGGTTTACATGAATGGCTTCCATATTATGGTTGGTTTATTTGAATTTATGCTGCCTCTTATTATGACTGGTCCTTTCGGTTCACTTGAATTCCTTTCATTTAGACCTTTTTAGCTTCTATCACGGTTTTGTTTTCCTAATTTAAACCACCACGTGATAGTCTCAAGGAGAATTTGTCTCTTCTAAAGATTACGCATACATTTGCGCCCGGATAAGACGACATTAAGACTTAATGCGAGAAACAGCTCTCTGGGGTACCATCACGTGATCTGAAATGAGAAGACAAGCATACAAGCTGAAAAGATCTCCTATGATTGGCTCCCTTGAGTATTTTCTCGTGTTTTGATTGGTTCATTTGAACTTCTGCACCTATAAACGACTGGCCGAGGTAATTGCATTGTACATGATTTAACTACCACTCTTAACTATGTCCCCTCCGCCATTAGGTTGTTATGCTTAAAGGCGACACTGCCCTGGACATGAGAGGACGCTGTAGTGCTGGACAAAAGGTTTGTATATATGTCGTATTTTGGGTCCCCTCCACCGCCCCAAAATGCCAAAGCCTTTAATAAGAAACCTAATTTACTTGTATTTTCGCCCCGCATTCCTCAGTTGATTTAATAACTGAGATGGAAATGCCCTCCGAAAAAGGAGTCATTTGAAACGAAGGCTTAAGAATGCTCATGTCCTTTGTATGCGATTCAGTTTCCCAGAAGGAAATTTTTAAAATGGAAAATCGATCAGCACATGCTCTTGCTGTACCAGTCTATAATTAATCGGTGATAAAACACAATCTCACTTATAATTTTCCTTCTTATCGTTTGAGCTTGTAGCTTTTTATCCGTTGACGTTTTTTGAAATAATGGAAAAGGAAACGCACAAAATCAGCGCGAGAGTTTGTCCCTGGACTGATGTAGCACCGGTGTACAGCGCAAAAGTTGGCTGGTCAACGGTGGTGGGCATGCACGACTGACAAACCATTTGAGAGTCGCGCGAAGTATTTTTCCATCTCAATCACTTTTGAAACTGTTTTCAGCTCTGAATAGGCCATTTCCGAGTTCCCCGGGGCCTCTGTATCAAACGAGGTTAAGTGCTCAGCCTTTGATATGGAAATGATTTTTCATTCTCATGCAAATAAAACTCATTTTCACGAGAAAGGTTGTACACTTGGCCTCATTTTGAAAGTGAGCGTTTTTGGAACTCGGAAGTGCCCTATTGGATTAAGTGTTAATTTCGATTAATTTCAGGTTCTGGCTTCGCTGATTATCATGTGTAACATTGTTTAATTTCAGGTTCTGGCGTCACTGATTATCAGATTAGCCCTGGCGGAAACATTTTGTCTGAACTGCGGTATTCTAACGCTTGACGAACCAACTACCAACTTGGACGAAGACAATATCGAAAGTTTGGCCAACCAGTTGGCTTCGTAAGTCTTCAATTGTTCTTCTTGAAGTGAGATGATTAAGCAGTTGCAAAATAAATACAAACAGCTGTTTCGGTCGTTGTTGTTACTTTGGTTGTTTACTTTCTCATTTAACCTCCGCCTGGCCTGTTCAACCTCAGCCTGACCAACACTCAGGGTCTTTAAATGACTGAGAAGAAAGTGTAATGATATCTGCAAACAGTTAGACATTCTAGAAACCGTCTCACAACCCTTGCTGACATACCGTAAAATTCCGAAAATCAACCCCGGGGCTTATATTTTTGAGGGGCTTATCAACGGAGGGAAATTTGCGTTTCAAAGTCGATTGCGCTAGCCTTATATTTGGATGTAAATTTGCCGTTTTTGCTTTGTTTTACTTTGTATTTGCGGGCAATTTTCCAAGTACAAGCCCCGGGGGACTTATATTTGGAGGGGCGATTTAACGGAGGGTTTTTTGAGTTACCGGATTGGGGGCCTTATATTTGGAGGGGCTTATTTTCGGAATTTTACAGTATAATAAATTGTATGGGACGTTAAAAAACCTACACACTGCTAGCAAAGAGTAAGGGATGTAGGCCCCGGTGTGGTGGTTGTGTCTCAAATTCATATTCCCATTAGGGCACATCATTACTCATTACTACATAACTTGAAAGCTGCGCCATTTTAAAGCAGTCTGACAGAAGTCTCCCAACCAGTACCCTGAAAAGCAATTTAGCAAGTGGAGTACTTTTTTTCCTTATTTCACAGAGTTATCAGGACAAGACAACTCCAGAGGAACTTTCAACTTGTCATCATCACTCATGACGAAGAGTTTGTAGAGAACCTTGGAAGAGCGGACTTTGTGGATTATTACTTCAGGATCTATAAGGACGAGAGGTAAGGTGGGAGTCCAACGGAAGGGATTTAGTCTACCTATCCGGTATAGTTATTAGGAAGCTTAAGATCCGATGCCGGCGACCGCTACGAAAACGTTACTTAAATAGTGAATGGTCGCTGCTTTAAACTTTATGACGCTTATTCTATCTTGTTTAATTTTTTCAAGTGTTGGCAAATTTGTTTCGAGTTGAATTCTAAAGGACTGTACGTTCAGGAAAAGAAAAAGAAAGTTGTTGTCTTCTGTTCCCGTCCTTGACAAAACGTGAGATTAGGCACTTTCACGTTGTAGTCGTGCAATAACGGCAAAGAAATGTACAAAAAAGATTGATGCACATGCAAAGTTGTTGTTTTGCTAATCTAAACCTATTGCTTTTTTGCCGTTTTCGTTGCCGTCGTCGTCGCTCTCATTATAAATAGCAACAGCCCCGGAGTGGAACAAGTCGTTTACACATCGAACATCACGTTGGAGTGGTTGGCCGAGAGGGTTTATTGCTCTTGGGGCCTGTTTACATATAGGTGGGGGACGCCAGGTAGGTGATGTAACCTGCTTAGCTGTCCATATAATCTCTCATTTTAATGTGATCACGTTTACATGGTAGGTGGGGTGATCATATGAGAGATTAGAGATTACATGGTCAGGCAGGTTACCCCACCTAAGCGGGTTACCTTACCTAAGTGGGGTCCTCCACTTCCATGTAAACAGGCTTTTAATCCCAGTCGTCACTCCTTAGTATTTCCTTCCGTCGCAGTGGGTTCCATCCCTCGCTCCAACTTATCCATTTCCGCTATGGTACGACTTAGTAGTACTTGATCACACTGCAACAAAGTGTGGCACAAAACTTATCTGATATGTGTGACACTCCACTTTCGAGATCAGCGCGGCACAGCTTCCCTCCTTTACAGACATCGCGCCGAAATCACTGTACTTATGTGGTAAAGAAGCCCTATTCGATAACATGGTCTTCGTGCCGAAGTAAGAGCCATCCGTTGTAGTGTGAACATGGCTTTAAAATGACCGCTCAAGTTGAAATAGTTTTAGTTCATATCAATTCCTACAACAGGAAGTCCGACTTCTGTATTCTTTACATCTACAGGTATTTAGAATAAAGCGGAGACCGTCTAATAGCTCTACAGAGCTTGCTTGATCTCCTGCCTTGTAGTGATGTAATAGGTTATGTGTATGAATGAATGTATGGTAAATAAAGGTACTTCTTCTTCTCCTTGGCAAAAAAAAAGTCAATCTCCTTATCGGTACAAAAACAAACTTACTAGTGGAAATTAGTGGTTTTTTTCACTCTTTCTTCCAGTGGTTACTCGCAGATCGTGAAACAGAGTGTGGCTGCGTTACATCGTGAAGAGGAGTCTCAACTGGAGTGATGCCCAGTTTCTTTGAAATTTTTGAGGTTGAGCGATTTTAGAGTGAGCGACAAAAGGAAACGCTTCGAATGTCTCTGTTGTTATTACGGTGTTGGTATTCATACAAAATAAATACGTTTAACCAAAAAACACACTTGGAGGCTTTCTTTGGTTTAGTATTAGCGTGTATTAGAAGTAGTTTTGTTGTTGTTTTAAATTCACAAGAAATAAATTACCTTTTTAGTCTATACATCGTATATCCGGTTATTGTGATCATCATTGATATTTTCACGTAACAAAGTGATGTCTTAGAAAATACCTTAGGTGGGTCATTCGCTCAGACTCAAGCGCTTTAAGCCAAACCTTCCAAACCCCGTCACGGTGGCCAAAGTGACCTTGTTAATATCTAATGCAAAACCCAAATTTTGGGTTTTATTCCCTTACCTTCAAAGCACAAGAAACTTAATGACATTAGCAAGATCAAATTAGGCCTCTTTAAAGTGCCCATAACCTAAAATTTTATATTTTGTTATCTGAAACTACACATTATTAAAATAACTTCTGCTAAAGAATTTTGCGATTTGAACCAAAGACGATTTTTTTAGAATTTTTTAAAAACGTTCAAATTTGCCGCCATTTTGGCACACCATTCGTCTTGGTCTTCTCTCGGAGTATGACGTTATATGACATACTTTAAGGAACACGTGACTTTATCGACAGGAAAACATTAAAAGTTCTGGTAGGTTTTTCTGTTTCAGAAAAACTTTCTTCTTGCGAAGACACTGTGATTTAATCCTTACTTGTAATTGATCTTTTTTTGTGTACAGCTGGTGAAGGAAAGGTAATGCGAGTTCCTTAATTTACGTCACATGACGTCATATGTGAGCCTGCTAATTTGCGTGACCAGCGTCGCGGGTGTGCCGCAAAAATGTAGACTTGGTAAATTGGTAAAAAAATCGCGTTTTGTTCAAACCGCAAAATTTTTTCGCAGGAGTTATTTTAATAAGGTATAGTTTCATATGAGAAAATAAAAAATTTTAGGTGATGGGCACTTTAAACAAATGCAACGCTTCAAAGTAAAATCGCGGACTTATAATAATCAATTTATTAAACCCTTTGGTAGTGTATAACACTAAATTACAAGGGAGGTCAAGAATACGCAGAACACATAATTACACGTGGCACAGAAGGCAAAAACAATTAAATCCTACTGTAACTGTGGGAAACAAAATTACTAAGGCGGTCCGTTCTGACAAAGCGGAAATCAGAACGGGAAAAACCCGACCTCAACCCGTACCCATGAGTGACATTCGTGGGCTGCGGCAGCAGGTGTGAAAGGAACCCGGACTCCTTGATGTTAGATATAAAACGCCTGCAAGCTTCATCACGGCGTGACAACAGTGTAGGCAAGCCACAGCGCACGAGTGCCGACTCATAAGAGCAATCTGGAAAAATGATTCCTAGTGCAGACTTCTGCACGCTTTCCACCAATTGAACCAGACAGCTGGGTAACGCTGCCCACACCGGAGATGCATATTCTAAAATGGGCCGCACAAGGCTACAATAAACCTGAATGAGATCAACTGGTGGGAGGCCTGATTTCATTAAGACATGCAAAAGGTAGAGACGCTTGCGAGCTCTCTTCACAATATAGTCGCAGTGAATAAACCACGATAAATTGTGCGACAGATGGACACCGAGCAACTTATAAGATGACACCTGCTCTATAATACTGCCCGACATCTGTAAGGAAGGTGGGTCGGAGGGCTTATACTGTAAGAAATCTATGAGTCACTCTTTACATTTGGATGGATTTAGCTTCATGCCCGTGACTACTAGCATAAGAACAAATATCCCTAGCTACAAAGGGCAGCATACTGGTTGAACATCTAGGAATAATCTCTAAGACTGAGAGATCGTCCACATACTTAACTCTAGTTTTGCCGTCCTTCACTAGGTTGTTGACGAGGATTGCAAACAACAGGGGGGCTAGTCTTGTCCCCTGAGGGATACCGTCCCTTGGAATAACGCTGTTGGACAGAGCACCACCGATTTTGACTTGTTGCGACCTTCCCGTCAAGAAGGCCTAAATCCATCTAATTAAGGCCTTTTTGTCAACTTGGCAATGACGCGGACGATTTTTCCGTAATTTTTTGGCACATATATCCAGTGAGTACAGGCACAAAATATCTATTTTACATTCGTCAATACAATTATGAGTTTGGTTTCGCACTTGGCCCAAGCTAACGTTTTAACAATTCGAACGGCGACAATTTACCTAGCGCTTTCCTTGTGTTTCACTAAGGATTTGTTTTGTGACTACGTTTCAGGTTACCCAAACACGTTCAATTGTCTTTCTTTGAGCGATATTGTTACTGATGGATTATTAGTTACTAAAAAAACAGGTAGCCCAATCTCGCAATATAAGCATCGGCGAACATAGACATTGTTGCATGACATTCGAAACGTTACGTCTCGTTTCGTTACATTACGTCTCTCCCGAGTGGTCCATGGGCCGATTTATAGCCGTTTTATGGGTTGTACCGTAAACAGTTTTCTCTCCATGTAAAGGGTTACCTTTATATAGAGAGGAAACCGTTTACAGTACAACCCATAAATCGGCCCATGGACCAACCAGGAGACACGTGACACACATTTTATGTAAGGTAAGCTGTTTTTTATTGAAATCCTTTCATTTTCGTGGGTTACGGAAACGATAGTTGTTTTTTTTTCTCATACAAATCCTTATATTTCGAATGTTACGCAACAATGCCGATGTTCGCCAATGCTCATGTTTCGAGCTTGGGCTACCTGTGCTTCAGAAAATTGTTAGTGATGAATAATCAACTAGCTGACAAGTGTGAGCTTGGGTTACCTGTGTCATAGTAGACCTAATGTTGACAAAAATTCAAGACAATTGTGAAAATTATCGTCATATGACACACTAAGATTCCAGTTTGTATAGACCTTGTTGAAGAAGCGGGGAAACGGCGTTCTGTGTACGAATTTGTTTGGAAGCCGTGGAGGAAACGGTGTTCTGTGTACGAATATGTTTGGAACCCGTGGAGGCAGGAAAAATTGAACGAAAGCCTTTGCCTGCTTCGTTTCATAGGCAACAACCCATGAAACTGGACAAATTTTAGGTGTCCATTCCACGTTGACAGAAAAGCTATAGCCAAGTTAAGACCTTTGGTATCCCTAAATGATGGAGAAACTCTCTTAATGCGATCCTGTATAAAAGCCTCCTTGGATCTTTTGATAAAGTACGATAACGAAGGAGCGATTCTGCGATGTTTCAACTGCAATCTTTTGCTCAAACGATACTCGACCTTTTCCACAAGGTCATTCATCGCTTTAACAAATGCTGGTGTGAAAACATACAAGCCATTACATTGAATATCTTCAAACGTGTGACTAAGAATCTGAAGAACCTTCCTGTTACCTTCATTAGAAGAAAGATGGAGAAGGGTCTTTTTGCTGTTGTCGCTAGTTACTTTGATGTGAGTTGCTTTGACATTTCCGAGCTCGTGAAGATGACCAGCTCGTCCACTGAAACTAGTAAGCTGTAGTGCAAATCGATTAACATCGTTTGAGGAAAATGGATCGATTTTTACAAAATTGAAGTAATATTCTAGCAAGCGTCTTTGCCCTCGACTCCGACTCACGTAAAATGGATTTCCAAGGTTTTCCTTGCTGGTCAGCCAGTTTATGAACGTATGATAAGATAGTCTGATGGTGCTGTCCTCATCCTGTGTAATAAAATGCGATAGTCCTTGCAGTGTATAGACAAAATCGTATTCAAAGTCCATCTTCTGCCGAAAGCGTAAAACGTCAAATATATGATTTAGCTTTAACGGTTTAAAAGTAGCAGCTAAAATTTCGAGTACTGGAAGTGCAGGTTTGAATTTCTCTCTCGACCCAAAAGCCCGTCTAAAGTAACTCTCGCACTGGTCACTGATGGTTGTCGGGAGCTTGTTCAGATCAGATTTATTACTCCAATTCTCCTTTCCGTGAAGAAGCATTAACTTTGCGAAAAGAAAGTTTCCTTCACTTTGATTTAATAACCTGTTTACTAGATAGGAGACCGCATCCCCCTTGACGAAGCTTAACATAACTTTTAGACGTTCAAGAAAGGCTGTATCTTCAAGTAGCTTGGTGGCTATAAAAATTTCGACATCTTGCAAGTTTCTTACATCCTCAGAAGATAAGTGCACCTTTGGAATGCTGCTGAAATGTTTCAATACAGCAGAGTCGTTACGCGATGTCATGACAAGATGCACGCATTTAGGAAGACTGTTGTAGGTGTCTTTTATAAATTGTTCCAATGAAGTCCCACTGGCTTCAGAAGAGCATTCATCTAAAGCATCTATTATTATAAAGTAACTTTGAAAGTCATTGCTAGTAACCCGTTTTAAGGGAGTGGCAATTGCTTCTTCAAAGCAGTGGTAAGGGTCTCGCAAACAACTTCTTTGAAGAATTCGTAGTATGAATGGGCTGTTATGAATCAGCATTCCATACTCTGGAATCCTTCTGGCTATCAAGTTGACCAAATTTCGAACAAATCGACCTGGTTCTTGGGTCGCTACGTCTGAATGCCTGCATAGGTGATAACCAATAATTCTTCTGTTTATGTATGGGTTGAATGCGCTTGAACAAATCAGCTGTGCACTGAAGGCAGATTTTCCAGTCCCTGGTGCCCCAATAATTAAAACTCCACCAATATTGTTGCCTTGTGATCCTGTTAAAAGTGACTCCAGCTGATGGCTAAGCCAGATACGTCCTGTGAAGGACTCTCGCGCCTTGTTCAAATGGCTTGTAAAGTTGAATTCTTTAGTGTCAAAAGGAACAGCTCCAACTTCCAACGGACAACCTAAAAATGTAAAGCAAGGGTTTTTGATATATTCTACGGAGTGAGCTGAGCTTAAAGATTAAATTAATTGACTCGAAACGCAGATCTCTTCATAAACCAGGGGCGTAGCTAGGAGTTTTCCAGAGGGTCTCACAGTATTCGAAATCTACCCTTTCCCGTCTCACAAATCGTTTTCACTTGGATGATTCGATTAAATTTGCGTTTATGACTAAGTTGTCACTTAGTTGGTGTAAGTGATTTGCTATAATCACGTTACTTTTCGTTGCGTAACATCTGCGTCGTAGTTATGTAACAGTTATTAACGCAGATATTATCTTACACAATCAACACAATCGTACACTCAGAAAGACAGGTTATTTAAGATTTAAGGGCCCCCCTTTCTTATACATAATACCCAAATGGTAATAACAAATAACATTTTCTTTACTTTACCGTTCTTACTCACTGTCACTTCCGAATGTGCCAACTAACAACAGAGAAGTACTTCACACTAAACTGAGAAAGAGATTGCACCTAGAGCCTCTCAAACAACTTATAGAGCAAGGATATATCAGTGATTGTGTTATAATTGAGATAAGACAAGCCATCGAAAGGCGAGAGGCCGACAGGACCGCTTCAAGGAAGAAAGAAGATAATCAGCCAAAGCTTACTACTTTTTATATGAGCAGTACATGCTCTAATAGCAAAAAACTTGACGGTAACACAGACAAATGATTCGGGTAGTGAGATTGCATAACATGACTTTATGCATGTAATCATTTGTTAAAATGCCGATGAAATTGTTTCAGTGTTACACGATAATGGATGAAGTGTTGATGCACCTACTATTTGAGCATTAAATCTTTTTGTCAGAGTGCTGATTAAATTGTTTTAGTATTACACAATATAGGACTTTGTGTAAAACTGAATCCAAATCAGGTCCTTTAATACTCAAACATCATGCTGCTCAGTAGGGATGCTACTTAAAAGAAACTTTAAGACCCCCCCGCCCCCCCAGGTCATCTTTTGGCATTTTAAGGCCCCCCATATTCCATCCAAAAAAAATTGAAGGCCTCCAATTTCTCCTCCACCCCCTCCCCCCAACTTAAATTATGACTTGTCCCCTAGTACTTGATCACACTGCACCAAAGTGTGGCACAAAACCTATCTGATATGTGTGACACTCCACTTTCGCGACACAGCTTCCCTCCTTTACAGACATCGCGCCGAAATCACTGTACTTATGTGGTAAAGAAGCCCTATTCGATAATATGGTCTTCGTGCCGAAGTAAGAGCCATCCCTTGTAGTGTGAACATGGCTTTAAAATGACCGCTCAAGTTGAAATAGTTTTAGTTCATATCAATTCGTACAACAGTAAGTCCGACTTCTGTATTCTTTACATCTACAGGTATTTAGAATATAGCGGAGACCGTCTAATAGCTCTACTAGCTCTACAGAGCTTGCTTGATCTCCTGCCTTGTAGTAATCTAATAGGTTATGAGTATGAATGAGTGTATGGTAAATAAAGGTACTTCTTCTTCTCCTTGGCCAAAAAAAAGTCAATCTCCTTCTTGGTACAAAAACAGACCTACTGGTGGTAACTGGTTTTGTTCACTCTTTCTTCCAGTGGTTACTCGCAGATCGTGAAACAGAGTGTGGCTGCGTTACATCGTGAAGAGGAGTCTCAACTGGAGTGATGCCCAGTTTCTTTGAAATTTTTGAGGTTGAGCGATTTTAGAGTGAGCGACAAAACGAAACGCTACAAATATCTCTGTTGTTATTACGGTGTTGGTATTCATACAAAATAAATACGTTTAACCAAAAAACATACTTGGAGGCTTTCTTTGGTTTAGCATTAGCGTGTTTGAGAAGCAGTTTTGTTGTTGTTTTAAATTCACAACTAATAAATTACCTTTTTAGTCTATACATCGTACATCCGGTTATTGTGATCATCATTGATATTTTCACGTAACAAAGTGATGTTTTAGAAAATAGGTCATTCGCTCAGACTCAAGCGCTTAAAGCTTACCTTCCAAACCCCGTCACGGTGGCCAAAGTCACCTTATTAATGTCTAATGCAAAACCCAAATTTTAGGTTTTATTCCTTCACCTTCAAAGCACAAGAAACTTAATCACATTAGCAAGGTCAAATTAGGCCTCTTTAAACAAATGCAACGCTTCAAAGTAAAATCGCGGACTTTTCTTTTTGTCAACTGGGCAATGACGCGGACGGTTTTTCCGTAATTTTCTGCCACATATATCCAGTGAGTATAGGCACAAGATATCTATTTTACATTCGTCAATGCAATTATGAGCTTAGTTTCGCACTTGGCCCAGGCTAACTTTTCTTTGCCAATTAACAATTCGAACGGTGACAATTTACCTGGCGCTTTTCTTGTGTTTCACTA